ACACACACACACACACACACACACACACGCACTCACACAATCCATCCCACCCCCTTGCCTGCTGCAGCCGTGTTTGGTGTCGCTGTTTTCGCGGCCAACAAACCGCTCGCGCTTGTACGAGGCCGTGGCGCTGTGTGGACTTGCAAGTTTTCTCTTTGGTTGGCACGTGCACGAGAAGGCAATGCTGGGAGCCCTGATCCCTCTCAGGTGCCCCGCGTGCATGTGCGAACTGCGCGAAATATTAGTGCACGTCTGTGTGTGTGTGTGTGTGTGTGTGTGTGTGTGTGTGTGTGTGTGTGTGTGTGTGTGTGTGTGCTTGTCCAAGCAGCTTACCAATAGCATGGTTTCTCCTCACGCCGCCACCACCACCCATGACCCCCAATCACCACCATCGTCATCAGGCTCGCGACTGCCGTTTCTGCCGCTGCTGCTGACCTCCGTCTACTGTGCTCTCGGTGTCGTGTATTCGTTTCTGCGCATGTACGCGCACTTCTTGCACACACCCGCACACGCAAGCGCAAAAAAGTCCCAATAGCAAGCATGTGTGCCTGTGTGTGTGTGTGTGCGTGTGTGTGTGTGTGTGTGTGTGTGTGTGTGTGTGTGTGTGCCACTTTCAATGCATCCACGTGTACAAACGACCTTTTACTGCTAATGGGTGGATCGGTTATTGCAAGTGTCACCATCAACGTGTTCGTATCATGCCAGCCAACAGCCAATGATAAACAAACGCCACAATGAATAGCGTCGAGTGCATTTGCCTGACATGAGATATTACACTCTCCTTGACACCTCAATCTCAACACTCGTCGCAGGGGACTGAAGGCCACGCCCGCACGTGAGCGAATGGTGAATAAGTGTGTGCGTGCGTGAGTGTGTGCGTGTGTGCGTGCGTGTGTGTGCGCGAGTGTGTGAGTGTGCGTGTATGTGACAGAACAAGCGTGAGATGTGAGGTTACAATGAGATGTTGGTGCAAGTGGATGGATTGGAGTACGACACAGGACAAAACACGCACCTCACGCGGACACACACGCAAACGCATGTGCGTGTGTGTGACAGCGTACCCAAGTGGTGAGAGTGGCGAGACAGGTGGCATCGTCGATCGGCTGAACGCAATGCAACACCAGTCACAATGAGCACCAAGTGGCGGTGGTGTTGGAGGGGAGGGACGTGTATGTCCGCTCGCGTACGTGAATTGTAAGGCGTGGGAAATGAGTGTTATAAAGACACACACAACCACACACACGCACGCACACACGTCGCACCTTTGATTCGAAGGCGAGATGAAGATCCTCAGGCGTCAGCTCCAGCGGTGTTGCTGTTGTGCAGTCGAGATCACAGCAGCACAGATGCACACACATGTATTAGCGCACGAGTGAGCAAAGTCACGCGATTGATTGGCACTGAAATAATGAAGCCGGCAGTGGCAAACAGTACTCTAAATGCAGGTGCACATGTCAGAGCACCCTCCCCCCCCCAAAACAAAACACACACGCACGCACGCACGCACGCACGCACGTAAACACACACACACACACACTAACAACTGCACTGACATGGGTGGTGTGCGCAGTCCTTTGCGAGAAACTTCTTCAGTACTGCGCCCGTAATCTCGGGTGTCGTGTTCAGATAACTGTGGTTGAGCGGCACGTCTGTGCATGTGTGTGTGTGTGTGTGTGTGTGCGTGTGTGTGTAAGAAGGTAAGTTGTTGTTTCAACATCACATGTTGTACTTACCACTCGAAAGCACGCGCTTGCACGCACACCGCACACGCGTGCAGACCTTTTGAGACGAGCTGCAGCTGGAGCGAGGCCTCGATGATGCGGGGATGCGCCATCACCGCAACATTCACGTCCTGATGCAAGTTCCGTCCGAGCGTCTAAAAACACACACACACACACACACACACACACACACACACACACACACACACACACACACACACACACACACACACACACACACACACACACACACACACACACAAACACAAGTGAACACACATGAACACACGTGAGCACGCACATGAACACACGTGGGGGTAATCCAGGGAGGGGCAGTACAGCAGAATGCACGACTATGCAACATTGGCAGCAACGACCACACCCCACCTTTATTTGCCCTGCGCCTTTTGCTCGTTGGCGCGCTTTGGCCTGAGCACATGAATTGGAAGCAGACACCGTGGGGATGGATGTCAGTCGAGGCACCGATCACGCTGACAGGCGACATACCAGCTTTGAAAGTACAACTTTCAGCAACGCACAGTTCCACCAGCACACATACACACACACACACACATGTACGCACCTGGTGCATCATGCCTTCGACCATGGCGCGAACGAGGAACTGGCGATTGCTCGACTCAAGCGTCTTGTCCACCAACGCACTCTGAAGAATGCAAGCAAGACAAGTTCGTACCAACACACACACACACACACACACACACACGCATGTACGGACACACGCACGCACGAGATGCGTGAGTGCAGCACACCCAGTGATGCGCACCAAGCCAGTGCACACAGCGTGTGGCATCACATATCATGTGCAACCTGCTGCTCATCGTAGATATCGCGTGAAGGGTACACCTAGCAAATACGGGCATGAGGTGCATGTCATTCCCGCATCATGTGAGACAGGCGCAGTGGATGAGCAGCATAACACACACACACACAAACACACACACACGCACGCACACACACAAACACACACACACAAACACACACACGCACGCGCGCGCGCGCGTACACGCAACCGAATGCAGCATCAAGCATGTGCGCAACGCAGCGGCGACAGCACACCACAATCAGACTCACGGTGGATATGATCTGGTCAAACATGTCATCGCGGCGTAACCGACGGCGAGACGCGAGTGGCGCGCGACACGTCGGGCACTCTTTCTTCCTGCAAACGACGTTCATGTGTGATGGTCAAGTGTCAAGAGTGAAGCCAATCGACAGGGTGGTTGCCACAACGAAGATGCGTTTGCGCGGGTAGTTGATGTGTGTGTGTGTGTGTGTGTGTGTGTGTGTGTGTGTGTGTGTGTGTGTGTGTGTGTGTGTGTGTGTGCGGCAGCACCGTGCGTCGCTTACCCGAGACGAAGGCACTTCTGGATGCACTCAGCACAGAAACGATGAAGGCACTATGACAGTGTACGAACCAACGCAAGCGCGCGAAAGCGAGCCGGTGAGAAGAGAGTCCAGCACAAAGCTTACCGACACAGTGCGAGACAGACAGACACACACACACACATGCACACACACGCACACACACATGCACACACATGCACACACACACACACATGCACACACACACACACACATGCACACACAAAAGAATGTTCAGAGAGCTTACCGACATGGCCGTGTATGTGTTCTCGATGAGGCCGAGGCAGATGGGGCAGCGGACCTCCTCATTGAAGATGTGGATCGGGACTGAGACGCTGCGACCATCGCTGATGACCTTCTGCGGCTGGCGCTGCTGCTCATACTCCGTCAGCCCATCCACCTTCTCCGCGCGCTCTGCCATTAATTATCACAGCGTGAGCCAAGAGCTCAGCGAATGCGAGCCTCGCTGGCGAGACTGACGTCCAGCAGCACACGCAAGCTTGCACGCGCACGCACACAGGCAACCACGACCACAACCACGACCACAACCACAACCACCACAGCCACAACCACAGCCACACCAGCAAAGCAACAAGGTCTCACCATCCATCTTGGGGCGCTGTTCCAGTGTTGTTGATTTTCGTTCGCACACACGCACACACGAACGGACGGATATGAGCGGCAGTGCAAGGGCGGATGACGCTGACGCCAAGCGTGCCAAAGTGGCCGTGGTGCACGCGGCGCCGGCACCGTTTGATCCCACCCACCACGGCCTTGACGCGGACTTCAGGCTCACGGACTTTGCCAAGCTCAAAGGATGAGGTGCGTACGTGTGTGTGTGTGTGGGGGGGGGGTGTCTGTGTGTGTGTCTGTGTCCGTGTCTGTGTCTGTGTGTCTGTGTGTGCATGTGTGTGTCTGTCTGTCTATCCACCTGCCCTTCTATCCGTCCACCCTTCTATCCGTCCAACCTTCTATCCACCTGCCCTTCTATGCGTGTGCCTCAACCGCGTATTTGTTCACATCAGGGTGTAAGGTTCCTCAGCAAGAACTGCTCCAACTGCTTGAGGGTGAGTGCATGTGTTTTGTGTGCGCTTAGCCTGCTCAACCTACTTCAAGGCGTGTGTATCGGTTCCCCTTGTGCCTTGCACAAGCACACGGCTTCGTTTGTTCCTTCTCACGCCACTTGGACATGCATGCGCATGTGCATGCAGAACTGAAACCGGCCTCTGCTGCTGAGACGGCGGAAGCCACCAGTGTCATTGGCATTGGCCTTGACAGCTGCGTCATCAAGACGCGACACAAAGACATCTTCCTTGTTCAAACCACAGACTTCTTCTACCCCCTCATCGATGACCCTTACATCCAGGTGTGTTGTGTTGTGTGCATGTGTGTCTGTGTTTGTGTGTGTATGTGCCTCCGTGTGCGTGTGTGTGTGCGTGTGTGCGTGTGTGCATGTGCCTCTGTGTATGTGTCTGTGTCTGTGTGTCTGTGTCTGTGTGTGTGTGTGTGTGTGTGTGTGTGTGTGTGTGTGTGTGTGTGTGTGTGTGTGTGTGTGGAACGACTGCGTACCGTGTGCTTCTGTCCCGCCGATGCTTCTGCCCCGCCGATCCTCACTCATGCTGCTCGTCATATTCCCTCGCGCACCTCCTTCAACGACACCACCAATGTGCTGCCTGCTTCAGGGCAAGATCGCTGCGGCCAACGTGCTCAGCGACCTCTATGCCATGGGCGTGACCCAATGCGACAACATGCTCATGCTGCTCGGTACGCGTGAGGCGCATACTCCTCTCCACATGCACACCTAAGCCCTCCATACCGCTACTCTCATCGTCAACTCACTGATTGCATCTGTGCATCTGTGCATCTGTGTGTGTGTTTGTATGTACAGCGCTCAGCATGGAGATGCCAGCGGATGCGCGCAAGGTGACGACAAGCCTCGTCATGAAAGGCTTCAGAGGTGAGCATATGCCATGTCATGCAAGTCCCCCTGAAAACGATCACATGTTGAAACCAGAGATGAACATTCCATTGAGTGTCACTTACTCACCACAGCTTGACGACTCCCACTCCTCCTTCCTTCGGTCGACTCATTGTACTTGCACACACACACACACGTACACACACACACACACATATTCACACACGCACATGTACAATCATATGCAGACGCGTGCCACGAGGCGGACACGAGCGTGAACGGTGGACAGACGGTCCTCAACCCCTGGATGATCGTCGGTGGCGTTGCGTCCAGCGTCGCCGCAAAGGGCGAATTCATCGAGTAAGCCGAACACTTTGTACATGTGGGTATGAGAGTGTGAGGTGTCTATGTGTGCGTGTGTGTGTACAAAACAAGTCTGTTCACCCTTCGTGGCACCACCATGTCCTCTGCACCACCACCACCACTACCAATCATCAGGCCGGCCCACGCGCGTGCTGGTGACGTACTCGTCCTGACGAAACCGCTCGGCACACAGCCCGCCGTCAACGCCCACCAGTGGCTCCACACCAACGCCTTCCAGCGCGTAAGCCGTGCCGCACTCTCGCTGCGGTTGTGTGTGTGTGTGTGTGTGTTCGTGTGTGTGTATGTATGTGTGTATGCATGTGTGTATGCATGTGTGTATGTGTGTGTGTGTGTCGGTGTGATTGCGTCTTGTTCTCTGTCTCTGTCTCTGTCTCTGTCTCTGTCTCTCTTCCTGTCTCCCTGTTTGCATGTATATGTGTGAATGTTCAGTTGTGCTAAGACACACGTGCCACACGCCGTTCCATGTTTGCGCCATCCCCCGCGCTGGCCCGCGTCAGGTGCAGGACGTGATCACGCCGGAGGAGGCGGTCGCCGCATATCGCATGGCGATGCACAGCATGGCTCGCCTCAACAGGAACGCTGCAAGTACGGCCAACACGTGTGTGTGTGTGTATGTGTGTGTGTGTACGTGTACGTGGCCTGCGCTTCCGTGCGGCTGCTTTTCAGTGAGAATGCTGGCACGGACGCGATTGGTGCGTGTAATTAATACCGCATTTATGGCACACGCCACCCTGTCGACACAAACCAACAACAACAACATCACCATGCACCCACCCATCCATCAGAGCTGATGCACGAGTGTGGTGCGCGCGGGGCAACGGACGTGACGGGATTTGGACTTCTCGGACACGCGCGCAACCTGGCAGAGGCGCAGGACGAGCAAGTCGATTTCATCATCGATTCGCTGCCAGGTGACGACAGTACATTCGTTCAGTGGTGATGGCGGCGAGGTGGTGGTGGTGGTGGTGGGACACTGATGGGCAATCACCATGGTGTCATCATGACAAGTGGTTGCGCGCTCACGCTCGCTTCTCACCATGCGGCTCGTGTCACGCAACACGCGAGCAGTGATTGCCAAGATGCCGGCGGTGAACAGCAAGTTCAACTTCAAGCTGCTGGACGGATTTTCCGCTGAAACATCTGGAGGTCTGCTCGTGGTCCTTCCACCAGACCAGGCCGAGGTAAAACCACTGTTAATGGGGTGAGGGCGAAGGTGGAAACAGAATGCAATGGTCGCTAGTGGCTGGGAACCCCAACAGTGGGTGTATGCTATTCACTTTGTAGCGTTGCTCACATACAATGACACCACCACAAACGGCACCATCACCACCACCACCACCACCACCACCACCACCACTGTCACCATCACTACTGCCATCAGCGGTACTGCGCGGCGCTGCAGGAAATGGACGGCATCCCCGCCTGGACCATCGGCCGCGTCGTCAAAGGTGCTGTGCTGTGTCGTGTTGTGTCGTGCTGTGATGTTTGCCATGATGCTGTGTGCCGTGTTCGCGTGTTGTGATACGTCTACGAGACAATACATGTTCTTCATTACCGTGCGCTTCCAATTCACAACCACATACGTACGCACACACGCACGCATATGCACGCACACGCACACGCACGCACATGCAGGAAACAACACGGCTTCCCTGGCCCCGGATGTGAAAGTGGAAGAAGTGCACACACCGCAGCTGTTCAACTAATGGCCCTGCAAGTGTTGTTCGCCTTCAAGTCTCGCTGGACGTTTCCTTCCAATTTCCCCCCCCCCTTCCCCTTTCCTTCAGCCACTCAAACCCACTCCCATGTGTCTCTCATCCATCTCAACCTTGCTTGTGAAGCGTGTTCCCACAACACCGCTACCAACCAACCATGTGTTTCATGTTTCCCTTTCATCACTGGTTGCTTTGCTGTGAATGCCATCGTATTGGAGGTCGTGCCAGGAGCAGTGCGCGCCTTCCTGCGATCATTCACACCCGCAATCACTCCCCCGCTCCTTTTGTGTTCCTCTCATTCACACTCGCATTTGCACACACTCACGCACACACGCCTTGGTGAACGCTTGGGCAGTGTATGTTTTGTTGTGCTTGTGCTTGTGCTTGTGCTGGTGCTGGTGCTATTGGGACACAAGGACGGGATGATGCTGCTGTTGTCACTGTAGCATTGACATTGTTTGTTTCTTTGTTTTCTTTGTTTTGTTGTGTGTGTGTGTGTGTGTGTGTGTTGCAACGCGTCTCGTTGTGAAAGGCTGTGTTTGAAATCACGCTCACGTGAAGAACAAGCCTTGATATGGAAGCATCAACCCTTCCATGAGACGTCGTACGCAACTCACCACACACGACAACAGCAGTGATTGCGGTGGACGCAAGCAAGCGCTTGTGTTTGACTGTGAAGCTTGTACCATGGCGTGGTTGCGTGTGTATGTGCGGGATTGGCCATGCCATCTTGTCTTGTCTTGATTCTATGGTTGGCGCGTTTATTGTTGATTTGACGGTTTGAGCATTGGACAGAACAACGAAATGACAACAGCACACACACACACACACACACACGCAACGCAACTGAATGCACGACAGGGCACACAGGCACGACGTAAAACAAACACAGAGAGGACGCTGAACAAACGCCGCAAACCAACCAAACACACACACACACAATCACATACGCAAAAGAGTACGCCCACAGCACGAGCAACGTGTGGTGACCTGAGGACCACCCCACCAAACATAAACATGTGTTCAGTGACGACGGCTGCTGCGACTGTCCCGACTCGCACGATCACGATCGCGATCACGGCTTGACCTTTCCTTTGTCTTCTCCTTCTCGCTGCCGCTCTCCCTGTCCCTTCTCTTCTCCCTCTCCCTCTCCCGGTCCCTCTCCTTATCCTTCTCCCTCCTCTTTTCTCCGTTCCTGTCTCTGCCCCTGTCCCTGTCGCTGCTGCTTCTGCCCTTGTCTCTCTCACGCCTGTTACTGTCCCTGTCCCTGTCCCTGTCCCTCTCACGATCACGATCACGATCACGATCACGATCACGATCACGATCACGATCACGCCTGTCCTTGTCTCGGCTTCGCTCCCTCCTCTCCCTCTCCCTGCTGCGTCGCTTCTCGCGGTCCCTCGAGCCCGACCGCGACTTGCGGCTGCGGCTGCTTCGGCTCGTGTGCAGTTTCACTGACACCTTTGGCAGCGGCTGGGCGGTGGTGGCAGCCGTGGTCACCACGTCCAGCTCAGCGCCAAGCTGCCAACGACACACGCACACGGACACGGACGCACACACACGCAGTGCATGGTGGGATGGTTCGTGTTGGTTCATGGGGGATGTGAAGGAGGGCAGACAAGGGCATCATCGCACAGCAAGCGCGGTGTCCAAATTGTAAGTAGGTACAGAACAACAACACACGTGACACACGCGCCAACATCCATGCGTGCAAATCGCACATACAATCAAAACACCCACACAAATACCCATGTGAACGCATCACAGCCATCCCAGCCAACACTCCGACCACGCTGGCAGCATGCTCACCTCGGGCACCTCCAGGTCAGCGGGTGGCGGCTGTTGCTTCACAGGCGGTCTCCGCACTCCCATCGTCGCTGGCTTCGACAGAACACCAACAATCGGCGCTGGTGTCATGGTTGCCGCTGTTGATGGTGCTGTTGATGCTGTTGCTGCTGTTGCTGCAGGTGTTTGCTTACCATTCTCGCCACTGCCTCCAACAGCTGTGCTCGCACCCTTGCTCTGCTGCGCATTTGTGGCAATCACTGCCGCTGCCGTTGCTGCTGGTGGTGGGGCTGGTGTGGATGTCGTGGTTGTGTTACCGGCCGACACAGCACCATCTGAGGGGGGCGTGGTGGCTGTTGTCGCTGTGGTGGACGTGGACGCCGGTGAAGCGGTCGAGTCTGACGTTGCCGCAGGTGTTGTTGATGAAGTTGTTGTGGCTGCAGCTGCCGTAGTTGCTGCTCCTGTTGTTGTTGCGCTCTTCTTTGGCGGATTCTCAGACACATCCGCAGCACCCGCAGCACCCGCAGCAGCCGATTGCGCCGTCGCCCGTCGCTGTCAGTGATGCATCGATGGTCGATGGTCGGTGGTGGATGGTGGATGGTGAATGGTGGATGGTGGTGGTGAGCACACAAGAGGAACAGGCGACAGCAACAGGACTGAGTGAGGTGCAACTACTACCACATCTATGCCGTTCATCCTTCATCTTTAATCACCTATTCCTTCTTCCATTTTTCATCCTTCATCCACCGCCTCGGTCAACACGCCACCGTGAACAGACCTTTGCTGGCTTGGCGACCTTGGCCTCTGCGTGGAGCCACGTTGGAATCTCATCGCGCGCCATCGGATCAACCGTGTACCGCATGCTCGGGTCATACTGTGCACACACACACACACAAACACACACACACACACACACACAAACACACACACAAACACACTCACGCACACACACACACATGTACACAAAAACACACAAAAACACACACATGCATGCGTCCATGATTCAACGTAAGAATGCACAAGTGGATGATGATAGACAACCAAGAACCGTTGTTGGAAATGATGCTGGAACAATTATGCACGCGTCCACGCATTCACATGCGCGCAGATCAACAAATGCCAGCAGGAGCATGGAGCAAAGGCAAAAGGTACGCAGCGTGGGCACGACACGGATGTACGTACGCGTGTCATTCTGCTCTCCTTGAAGCGCACCCGACGCTCGAAGTCGCTCATCACCGTCAAGATGTCTGAGGACATGCCAAACAGAAGCAGCACACACGGCAGGATGGAGTGAGCCAAGCGTCTAAGCAGCACAGAACAACGTAGGCCCTACTTTGATGTTGAACACGGGTGCTGGTAGTGTGTGTGTATATACACTTCTTCATGAGACATACCCAATTGCTCCGTGGCCTTTGGATCAAACACGAGTCCTGCCCAATGACAAAATCGTCAGCATTAAAGCAATCGTGAGCGCACACATCGTGCTGAGTTGAATGTGGGAGTGCGCACAAGAGAGTGTGTGTGTGTGTGTGCGTGCGTGCGTGCGTGTGTGTGTGTATGTGTGTGTGTGTGTGTGCGCGCGTACCAATAAACCAGAGAGTGCGCCAGCAGTACTCTGGCGGGCGCTCGTGTGTGTCCTCGTCCTCCAGGGTCGACGGGTCTTTCTCGGGCGATCGCCGAAACGCCTGTAGATGACAGTAGCCCGCAGCGAAACAGGGGAGGGGGGTGATGGCATACATGCGGACAGGCACTGATGTGAGCAACAGCTGGATGTCTCTGTACACACAGATGCACACGCACATGCACAGATGTACACATTCAGGCACGCGCATACACACACGCATGCACCTTTGGAATTGGGATGGCGTATGTGACGGCTGGGTGGAATTCGAGACTGGTCACCAGATTGCGCACACTGCAACACAGCACACCCATTCGGGGGGGGGAATGGTTGGTGTTAGAAGAAGGGTCAAGCACAACCGCTCTTGATGGAAAACACACACACACACACGCACGCACACACACACACACACGCACACACACACACACGCACACACACACACACACGCACACACACACACACACATACACAAGGTGCAAGCAGGGTGGAGTTAGCACACGGGGTGTGGGCGCACGTTGACTCGACGAGGCCTTCATAGAGGGTGCGGTCCTGCTCCGAGTTGGTGAGCGCCTGCACGCAGATGTAGTGCGAATACACGCCAAAGAAGGGAATCTGCTTCCACAGCTATGGGCCGTGTCGATGCAAGCAAAGGAAGGACGTGTGATGGAGGCCATCGTGCGCACCATCGAGTGAGTTATCAAGTACAGACACACACGCACACCACCTACGCAAACACGCAAAAGCACAACCCCCCAATAGCCCACACACACACACGCGCGCACACGCACACACACACACACACACACACACACGCATGCACACACAGCCAACACACGCCCATCTCCACCCACACCCCTGCGTCACCGTACCCTGGGCCAGGTTGCCTTGCCGTCTGCAATCTTCTGAACAACGGACTCTGCGCGATCAAGCTCGCGCTTGATGCGATAGAGGGTGGACCTGGTCACCGTGTACGACGCGTTTTGTGACGGGTACACGGGGGTCAGGATCTTCATCACGCTCATGTCGTGGTAGTTGTTGCTAATGCGCCGGGCAGAGTGGGGTGGTGAGACGGTGTTTGTGTTGTGTTGTGTTGTATCATGTGTCATTGTGGTTTTGCGTTTTTGTGTTGTGAGTTGTTGTGTGAATGAGAGTACATGAGGGTTTCGAAGACATGTCATCGGCATGTGCATCTTGTTCACTCGACCGCGACGACAGATTGACCGCAAACAACAGCACACACCACCACCACGTCGCCACCACCACCACCACGCCAGCACGCGACACAAGCAGGGCGGTGGCGCACATTGGGCTCCAGTGCGGGATGTGTGTGATTCCGAGATCTTCCACGTGCTGCAGCTCAACAGGAATCGCCCAGTCCCTGCACACACACACACACACACACACACACACACACACACACACACACACACACACACACACACACACACACACACACACAAATACGTATGTACACAGGCACAAACGTAGACGCACGCACGCGCATAGAATTGTACGCACACACACATGTACACAAATATCAGCCACATATCAGCCGTTGCCAGAACAGAAAGCTTCACGCACATGAATGCGTTGGAACGCACACGAGAACACACGAAAGCGCGAAACACACGCGCACGCACAATCAGCAATATGCGGGCCATAGAACGAGACGTTCACTGGCGAAAATGACATGAGCATGTGATGTGACCACCCCACCATCGCTTGTAGTGCCAGAAAAACTTCTCCACGAGGGTAGAGGCGGTTGCATAAGGGAAGAGCTGTCATGATGCAACGACAAGAAGGAGAGCAGGAAACATGAGGAGGGAGCACATAGCGGCGCGCTGTGCCACAGCGATGCAGGCACAAGTGTGTGTGTATGTGTATGTGTGCATGTGTATGTGTGTGTGCAAGTGGCACTCTGCATGTGTGAGTACCTGGCAGATTTTAGCGACGAGGATGGCCAGATGCACACCACCGACGTAGCACAGCGCGTTGCCGTAGATACCGCGTCCTGATAAAGTGGTGGCAACACGTGGTGGTGGTGTCAGGTGCGGTGGTAAGGAAAGCAGCTGTGCACGTACGCACATGCACATGCACGTGCACTCGAGTACACTCGAATACACACGCGCACACTCTCACATGCACAGGCATGCACATGAATACGCACGCTTAGCCCAGAGCTTGATGGTTCTGAGGCAGAGGCCAAAGTCTTCGCGGGCGGCGGGGCACAGCTCCAGGATCTTGTCCGTCACACGCCGACCTGCACAGGTGCATTGATGCGCATGGTGTGGTGGTGGTGGTGGTGAGGTGGTGGTGAGTGGTTTGTGTGAGTGGATGTGACGAACACCAACAGCTGTGATACAGTTGTCAAGGGGCAGCTGTGCTTGGCTGAGGTGCATGTGCGCTTGTGTGGTGGATTCGCATGTTGATGTGCGGGTGAATGCGCATGTGTGCCTGCATGGAGGCGCGAGAAATGCCGGGGACAAGGAAGGGCAATAGGGGGTCGTGTATGGCAGAGTGGCACAAGTTCGAGGTGGCACACGATCGAAGAAGCGTGCAAACGAATGACCAGCGCAAGGCAGACAGGGGGCAAGGAAGAAACAGAGATGCCAACAAGCAAGGGACAATCAACACTGTGGTCGGGGGCATAAAATGTAATGACGCTACGTAATACACACGCCAATCGCAGCACGCCACATCCACAGCTACGACAACGACAACTGTGGTAATGGCGATATTCTTCACGGTATCCTGTCATTGCAACCGTGGTGTACTCAAACACACGACCATCACAACCACCGCTAACAACAACAACAGCAAAACCAAGGCGTGCAAACACACCATTGATACTGCGCACACAAGTTTCCGGGAGATTGCGCAGGATGTCGTCATCGGAGAGGTCGAGGGACGGCGCAATGGAGTCTGCCGGCAGCTGCGCCATGAGAAGATCCATCTCAACCCCGCCAAACGTCAGCTTGATTGCAGGCACTGCAGCAGACTCCGCAGACTGCACAGTGTGTGTGTGTATGTGTGTGTGTGTGTGTGGGTGTGTGGGTGTGTGTGTGTGTGTGTTTGTGTGAGCTGGGGAGTCATTGCAATCACTCAGGTGACACTACCCACAACAGAGCTCCAGCGCCACAATTGTGTATGCGGCCTTACGTGTAGGTCCTCGACGTCGTCCCGCTGGGCGAGGGCGTCGTAGAAGCTTGAGAAGAACGCGGCGCGCGTAACGCTTTGCGGAAAGCAGATGAGCGCATCGATATCGCCGTCTGAGGGTGCACAAGAAGACCAAACAACAAAACAAGACACAGGTACACGTACACACAGCGATGCGATGCATGCGTGTAGAGACGCAGAGGTGTCCATGAGTGCACGTATCATGCAACGTTGCTGTGAGATGAAAGACGCGCGTGATCAAGTCGGCACACCTCCACTCGAATGCACGTCAGTGGGCGCAACAGCAAACGCAGTACACAAAACAAATAACCAAACAACCAACACACAACAAGCAAACAACCCAAGCACACACACAAACCAACAACAAACACACACGACACAAACCAACAACACGCACTCTTTGAATGAACGCCGAGACGAAAGGAGCCAAAAGTGAAGATTTTGGCGCGGATGAGCTGGGCAGCCTCGGGGCTCTTCCCATGCTATCAATAAGAGATCCAACACACACGCACACGCACGCACACGCACACACACACACACACACACACACACACACACACACACACACACACACACACACACACACACACACACACACACACACACACACGGGAGTGAGCACCGCTCATGTTCACATAGAGCACTACAAGCCCCACAAAGCAGATGCAGTTTGCAAACAAGAGCACACGACATCAATATGCACAGAGCAGATGTGCAAAAACAACAAGCGCACCTCGAGGGAGTACTTGTACAGCCAATCCTTAACAAAGGCGTTGAGATTGGCCAGCACGCGGTTTCGTTGCTCGTACCCTTCCGTACTCTCCATGATGCCCTCCTTCTTCAAGCAGGTTTCAAGCTTGCGCGTGCTCATCAGTTGCTGTTCGAAAGAGGGGGAAGGGGGCACACAGAAGAGGTGCAAAACGATGTGAGTGTCAAAACAAGGCATCGACAAGAAGTGCATGCGCACGAAAAAAACATACCACACGGTGGCATTGCACTGCGCACGCGCGCGCACAAAACACGACATGTGAAGCGACGGTCATCAAGCAGCACACGTGTGTGTTTTTCCTAATTCTCACCTCGAGCGAGGGGTGCTCGGTGGAGAGCGGTTCCTGAGCCATGGCGCCTGGTGTTGGTGCCGTGAACGACCGCCCACAACACCGACTTGGCACCAGAGAGTGCGACGGAACAATGCCAACGTGAGAACAATGGACAGGAGAGGCAACACCACCACAACAGCAAAGGAACCCGAGAAAGAAGAGGAAAGTAAGAAGAGGAACAAGACGAAAACCTAACGATGAGACCCCCCTTCACTGTGGGTGTGTGCTTCGCCTGCTTGCTGTGCGCACGTTGCCTGTGGACGGCACCCACACACACGAACGACCACAACAATCAATACACAGCAGCCGGCTGGATTGGATGACACAGCACACAGCAGCACGCACAATCGCGTTGGCTGGCTGGCTGCTGGCGGGAAGACGAAATACGATGCGCGACACCACAAAAACACGAAAACTTGACAACAGCACATTCGCAAAGATTTTCTTTGTTTTTCGACGACCTCGCCAGCCACCTGCAGCAGAGTTTTGGAGGCAAACAGAAGGACAACAACGCGCACAAACACAACACAAAGCTGCATCATCCGTGCTCACACCCTGAATATCGGCATCGGCATCGTTGTGCGTGTGTGTGTGAGTGTGTGAGTGTGAGTGTGTGAGTGCCTTCAGCATACCTCTCTGTGGCGTTGACGTGGAAGCAGGAGGATTAACGGGACGAATTTGAACCGAGGACACGCACTCGCGTTTCTCACGTCACGCACTTGGGCAAAGAACGAAGATGATGACGCGTAGTGCGTTGGGCACCGTGGCGCTGGCGCTTGTGGCGCTGCTGGTGGGCTCGCTCGCCATCAGCATGCCGTGCAGCGCTGCCGGCGCCGGCGATGTGTCTGCAACAAACAACCGTGCTAGCAGTGGCAAGGGCAGTGGCGAAAGCTCTGCGTCCCTGCTGGGCTTGCTGCTCACGCACAACCCAGCCGTGTCGTTTGCGGCGCTGCGCAAGTCTCAGAACGTGACCGCATGCGTGCTGGCCCTTTCCAATCCAAAGGTGCGTGCGTGCGTGCGTGCATGTGTGTGCATGTGTGTGTGTGTGTGTGTTTGTGAGAGTGGGTGTGAGAGTGAGTGAGAGAGAGAGCTTGTGTTGTTGTGTGCGTGTGTGCGTGTGTGTGATTTTTTTGTATGCATACACACCCTGAAACTTCTCCTTGGTGTTGCTTGCCACCTCTCCCTCTCCGCCTTCTGTTGTTGTCCGTCTCGCCACGCTCACATTTGCACACACACACACACACTCACATTTGCACACACACACGCTTGCATATGCACACACGGGCATACACCCTCGATCGCACGCCTACTTGAAATCCACAGTACTGGCCGAAGATGTTGACGGCGAGTGGGCTGTCCATCAACTCTCTCGGAGATTACGAGCAGTGCGTTCACAACTACAACATGGAGTACTGCGTGCTGGACGGCCACGCTCACCAGCTCGCCCAGGGCGTGTGCATGCCGCCGCAGTGCACGCAGCAGGAGCTGACCATGCTGCTGTATGCGCTCTTTGCCATGACCCCTGCTGAGCTGGGCGAGGTCTTGGACGAGGAGGTGCAGCCGCTGTGGGACGAGGCATGCAACCAGATCCAGGATCCGAAAGAACAAGAGGAGTGCGAGCAGGGCTACCAGACGTTTCGCGAGGATGTAATTGACTCGTATTCCATCCTGCGCTACTCCGAGCCCGAGATGAAGTGCGGAGAGCACAAGCAGACCACTGTCACCGCCGGCTTCGTGGTCATGCTCATCATCTGCTTGCTCATCATCATCCTCGCCACCATTCAGGCCTGCCGCGAAACAAGGGTGCTGCAGGTGAGCACCGTCCGGCTGAGAGTCGCTCTGCTGCTGGGTGTCTTTGTCGCGTGCTTGTGGTGTGCTCCTGCTGCCGCGCGCGCGCGTGTGTGTGTGTGCGTGTGTGGTGTGTGTGTGTGTGTGTGTGTGTGTGTGTGTGTGTGTGTGTGTGTGTGTGTGTGTGTGTGTTTGTATGTCTTTTGTGCTGTGACGCGTTGTGCAGTGAGCGGTGCTTGCTTGGTATCTTCATTCTCATTCTCAATGCCATTGTCGTTCACCACGGCATTCGCCTTCCTTTCGCGTCGCGCAGGGGTTCACGGAAGAGGAGAAGCAGATGTTGATTGTCAGCAGCGTCAACACCGCGCCAGACTCCTTCGACGACGGTGCGTGGGTGTGCAGGACATGAGCGAGTATTGGTGATAAACGCCGCCTCTTTGTGACACCCCACTGGTCCCTCAAAACATGATTTCCCTCGTGTTCACACACGCACGCACGCACGCACGCATGCACGCACCATCCACCACCCTTGTTTCAGGTTACAAGGAGTCGCCGCTGCTGTTCCGCGCGTTTTCGATCAAGGCGAACCTGAAGGAGCTGCTGTCATCGTCGCCAGCCCGCACTCTCAAGTCCCTCGATGGGCTCAGGGCCATCAGCATGTTTGGCATCATCCTCGGTACGCGTCCCTTGCTCACTTCCCTACAATTGATTTTGTGTGCGTGCGTGGTGTGTGTGTGTGTGTGTGTGTGTGTTGGCACAACTCCTGTCCCCACTGCCACATCGCACCACACCGCAATACATCACGCTGCCGCTTACACCATACCCTTCATCCGCCTCCACCTCGACCCGTCTGCCCCACCTTCTTCGCCAGGCCACACCATCAACTTCCAGCTGCCCGGCTTCGTCGGTGTGCAGAACCCGGAGGAAATCTCCAACGAGCTCAACACATGGAGCACGCAGTTCCTCATCAGGTGCGCATGCACGCGTGTAACGCGTCGGCTGTGACGTGAGCGATGTGTGGTGTCGTTCCGTAGGCGTTGGTGTTGAGCTTGGTGCTGTGTCACTGCTGCTCGAATCCCTGCACCACGTTCCTCACCGTCATCATAAAATGCTGTCATCATCACCAACCATTATCATCATCTTCTTCTTCTTCGACAGCCAAAACTTCTCCGTGGACACGTTCTTTGTGCTGTCGGGTCTGCTCACCGCATATGTGTTCATCCGCAAGTTCAACGCCGGAAGACGTGAGTGATACAAGTCGTCGTGGCCTGTATGCTTCACAGGAATGCTTCAGAGGGCGGATGGTGGTTGTTGCGGTTTGTAATGAAAGGGGGCTGGTTATGACATGTACATGTAGGCGAACAGCGTTCACACACACACACACACATACACACACATGTTTGGGGTGGACTGCTGATGGCGCTCCTTCACGTCCCTTTGGTTTGCACATGCGTGTGCACACGCGCTTGCGTTCGCACGCACGTGCGTGCATATCTCACTTCACGTTCTGTACGCATGCGGTTACCTGTGCCTGCAGGCATTCCCGTGTTCATGGGGATGGTGCTGCGCTATCTGCGCGTGACACCGCTCCTCGCCTTCATTGTCGGCGCATATGCGTGCTTCTTCAGATACTTTGGGCACGGTCCCCTCTGGTACAGGTAGGCAACCCACTCGTCCACGTTGTTTTGTGTTCGTGTTCATCTCCTGCGGTGGGGTGGCCCTTCCGCCCTCTGTGCTGCCCTGCACACACACACACACACACACATGTATGTAAATGTTCATGTGGGCCCACCCACACACACACGCACACATACTCGCAAACACGACACACACACGCACATATACTCGCAAACACGACACACACATGCACACACACGCACACGCACACACACTTGCCGTCCTGCAACCTTCTACTCACGGCCCTGCGTTTGCCCTTCATCTTGTCGCTGTGAAGATTCCTGCAAGAGCTCGACAACTGCAAGACGGGCTGGTGGCAGCACCTGCTGTACATCAACAACTTCTACCCCGTCGACTACAAGGACCAGTGTGTGCCCTGGGCATGGTACCTCGCCGATGACATGCAGTTCTCAATCAGTGCGTTGTCCGCACTGCGTTTCATGAAGCGTTTGTTTTGTGGTTGCGTGCGCTTGCGTGTCGTTGTTCGTTGTGGCCTAGGTATGCCTGTGATGGTATGATCCATTGTTGCGGAAACCAAGCCGCTAACGTGTTTGCCCATGACTCACATGTTCACTCTCGTGCACACACGCATACTCATCCACACGCGCATTCAACCGCCACCAGTTGGGTTGATGCTGCTTGGACTGTACCGCTATTCGAAGCGTGCCATGTACACGCTCACATGTACGTCAACACCTGTGTGTGTGTGTGTGCGCGCGCGCGTGTGTGTGTATCTGTGTCACTGCATCTGTGTGTGTGTGTGTGACTGCATCTGTGTGTGTGTGTGTGTGTCTGTGTCTATGCATGCACGTGCCTTCCTTTTCTTCCTTTTCTTCCTTGTGCTTGTTTGCTTTCGCTGCAGCTGCTTCCACGCGCTTACCTTCTTACCGCAACTTCTCGCCTTTCATTCACCCGCACCAACTCCCCTGCTTCCCTTAACGCTTGCTTTCTCCCACCCCTTTCGCTTCTCGGCGGCCAGGGCTGCTTGTGCTGTGCGGGCCAATTGCAACGGGCCTTGTCACCAGCCACTACAACGTTACGCTCACAGAAGGCGACTCGCAGAACCTCATCTACGACAAGCCGTACACGCGGTGCTCGGCCTATGCCATTGGGCTGCTGTGCGGGTGCATGCTGGCCAACCACACAGAGGCCTTCCGCCGCGTCTCGCCGCTGACAGGCATCACGTCGCTGTTTGTGTCTGTCGGAGGACTGCTGACGATCATGTACATCACAGCAGCGTTCAACTGGAGCAGCAGTGCTCCAAACTGGACTGACACGGGCATGTTCGTCTACCAAGCCCTCTGGTGAGCGTTGATTGTGAAGGATGAGACAAGGGTGGCGTGTTGTGTTACTGGCCTGTGTGTGGTGTGGAGTGAACTGGACTGGACTAGACTTGGGGTGGGTGTGGAGGTGGGTGTCTTTTGGGCTGTCTAGGGCTGTTGCTGTAATGGTTGTTGCTGGTCTGTTCATGCATGAAGGCATGGATGGGGACGTGTGGGCATGCAGTGGGATGCGTGTATACTCTCCTTCGCTCGCTCACGTACGGCTGCCTTTCCTTTGTGCTTGATCTTTGTCGCCGCCAGCCGCCCGGCGTGGTCGGTCCTCCTCTGCACCCTCAGTGAGTCACTAACTAGTGCATGCATGTTGCGCTTGGCCCATGTTGCACCTCCACCCGCCCGCGTATGCATCACCTGCCCCCTTCTGTTGCTCTGCATCAACTCACCAGTACACACGCACACACACGCACACACACACACGCACACATGCACATGCATGCATACAGTTATCACGTGCGCGTCTGGGTACGGCTATGCGGTCAATTGGCTGCTGACGCTGCCGTTCTGGGAGCCGCTTGCCCGCCTCACGTTTGCCGCCTATCTCATCCACCCCGCCCTCATCCGCATGGTGTACTACCAGCGCACGCAGCTCTTCACGCTCAACCCGGTCGAGTACAGCACCTACTTTGTTGGCTTTCTCACTGCTGCGTATGTGGTTGCGAGCGTGCTGTTCATTGTGGTGGAGCAGCCCTCTGCCGTGTTCATCGGCGCTCTCAAGGGCGGCAGGTGAAGTCCCTCTCGAGCTAGTCTTGTTGCTGTCGTCGTCGTCGTCGTCGTCATTGTTGTTGTCGTCGTTATTTTTGTTGTCGGTGTTGTTGTGTTGTTTTCTGTTGGCTTAATTGCACGACGTTTTGTTTTTTGTTTGTTTTCTGTTGTTTTGTTTTGGCTCGTTCCGCCAGTGCGCGCCCGTGTTGCGTTTGGCAGCATGTCCTTGTTGACGTCACGCTCCTTGTCCTCCATAGTTTGTATCTTCCTCCATCTCCGTTTGAAACGAAGGCCACCTCATGAAAATCAAAACCAAAAAAAAAAATATGGCGTGCAGGAGATGCTGACAAATCACAATCCTGTGTGTGTCTGTCTGTGCGTCTCTGTGTGCGTGCGCGTGTGTCTGTGTGTGTGTTAGAGTTAGCGCAGCGTTGTCAGCCAAATCACAATCAAACAGAGCAACGCCCAACCAACAACAACAATAACAAAAAAAAAAAAAAAGAATCAGACAATTGATATTGTGACAGCATTGTCGCCGCAACCTCAGGCCCTAGCTGCTCTTATTACTTTCCCAGCTACATTGTACCCCCTTGCCCCCCCTCCTCGTCTCGCCTCGAACTGTTGCTCTGCTAGTGACTTTATTTGTACATGTTCATCAGCTCCGAGCGAAAAAGAGCCGTAACGACTACGCACACCACACAAACTGCATCACATCACGCCTTCTTCACGTTTGTTGGGAGATTGATGTTGAGATTCGAGTTCCACATTCCCGCGCGCGTGTGATAATAGTGATAGAACTGGTGCTCCTTGATGCGATCTGCGTCATAGCCGTGCTCAAACACCCTGCAGGCGTTGTGTCCAGACATTGCAAGCACGGGGGGTGGTGATCGGTGGTGGCACATGGGATGCGTGTAAGAACAAGAGACATGGTTGCGTGCAAACCGTGCGAATGGCATGGACACCGCGCAGTTCCGGGCAAGCGTAGGCATGTGGGTGAAGCATATACACGGGGCGAACACGATGCGTGCGTTTCTTGCTCACCTGTCCAGCATCTCCCAGTCCTCGCCACCCCACCTGCAAGTCAGCGCAGAAACAGCGACCATCAACGCACGCGCAACTGCAAGATCCAACGCAAAGAACACGGACAAGGCACGCAGAACACACGAAGAGCACGACAAAAGGTCTCACAAGCAAAGAGACAGACAGACAGACAAAGAGCACGGCAAACAGACACAAAGCAGGAGCACACACGGACACACACACGGACACACACACGGACACACACACACACACACACACACACACACACACACACACACACACACACACACACACACAAAGCAGGAGCACGCACTTGTCCTTGTATTCCCTCGTGTTCATCCCTCCAATAGCAACCCAATCAGCCTTGGTCATCGCAAACAGCCCGTAGCCAGGTACTGCACAACGTACAAAGGAGCAGGAGCAACGCACACACGGGAAGCCACGTCAGCACATGCACCACCAGCAAGCCACCACGCGACGAACAAGCCAAACCACAACCAACCCCAGATCAATGGAACACGCGCGCAGGGACGCAACTAGCAGCCAACCCTCCCTCAAAACAACACGCCAACAAGGGCCGCTGACCTTCCCAGAATCCGCTCACATCACCCGGATGTGCACCGCAGCCAAGACGAATCACGACGGGCACATACCTGGCGGTGTTGTGCATTGTGTGGTGTACGTGTGTGAGTGAGTAGGGTGTATGTGCGTATGTGTGTGTGTGTGTGTGTGTGTGTATGTGTGTGTGTGCCTTGCAGTTGAAGAAATCGAACGAGGAGCCACCAGCCACAACATCACGGCCATACCCGAGGTGGTTGCGGACAGAGTGTTTCCTGCAGTTCTCAATCACGGCCGGGGTTCTGCAAACAGAGAGAAGGGTGGAGTTGTGAGAGGAGGAGGGAGAAGGAACGGCTCAGGAGGACATGACACACACACACACACACCAAAAAAAAAAATCATACGAAAACAAAAACATACAGCCCCACAAACAAATAGCCACCGAGGCACCCGGGCAGACAAGCAGACAGGCACAACAAGCACATACGCAGACACCCGCATAAAGGTATCAACACTCACGCACGCACACACGCACGCACGCACACACACACACACACACACACACACACACACAAACACACACGCACACACACGCAATGTGTCTCACATCTCGAGGTGGAGATCGCACGCAAAGACAACGGCATCGGGGTCTTTGACAGCATCAATTCCTTTCTGGACACCTGCACATGATGATGATGACGATGATGATGATGATGATGACGAGACTTTGGGGTACAGCGCACACACCACCAGCAACAGCAATAACCAAAAACATTACAGCCGCAAACCAACCGAGTGCTCGCGAGAAGGAAGACTCCTGCGGGACATACACGAAGCTGAGGACACACACACACACACACACACACACACACACACACACACACACACACACACACACACACACACACACACACGCGCGGAGGGGATGGGCGGAGCGAGGCGACTGGCAGTGAGGGAAGTGTGTCCGATAAAGCCGTCTACATACCAACATCCAAGCATACACACAAGGAAGCATGTACACGAGGAAGCGAACAACCGTGTCACCACCATCACCACCACCAGCAGCGCCAGCACCAGCAGCAGTAACAGCAAACGTACTCGATGCCGCTGATGTCCAGGAGTTGTTTGATGTTGGCGTCAGTGGACCCAAAGTCCACAATCACGAGCGTGATGCGCGCATCGTGCATTACAGCAAGCAGACGCTGCATGTTCTGGTGAATGCAACAACCAAAAAAGAAAAAAAGAAAAAAGAAAAACGAGCGTCAATCTCGCGCGTGTGCATGTGTATGTGTAAATGTGTGTGTATGTGTGCATGTGCGAGTGGAGGGAATAGCGTGAGAATGACCGTGTTGTGGCTCCCAGCGAATGCAATTGACAAACACGAGGCACAGAACGCCAAATTCTGGTCGCAGAGAGACGCAGGCAGCACCAACGCGACGACGACGACCTTGATGAGATGGATCACCCACGGTGCCTGGTTCTTCACGGGAATCACAATGTAGACCGTCGCATCCTGCACACAGACACACACACACACACACACACACAGTGGTGAGGTAGAGGACGGCACTTCCGTGGCGAGGCAGAGCGCGCGCGCACACACACACACACATACACACGCATACACACACACGCACACATACACACACGCACACACACACACACATACACACACGTGTGTGTGCATTGATGTGGATACACCAAACTCCACAAAGCTGCACCATACAGCTGCAGCGTGCGTTGTGCCCTCACTTTCTTCCACGTCCATCCCTCTGGGTAGCACAGCTCGTTGCGGTACGTCTGCACCACATAGCGCGAGACGCGGCGCGGCTGCAAGCGGAAGCGGAGAGATGGGTCGAGCGAGAGATTAGCACGTGTCCATGCGTGTGTGCGTGTGTGCATATGCGTGTGCGTGATGATGTGCGCGAGGTGTGTGGGTTCACAAAGGCCACAGAACAGAGGCTCGTGTGCGAAGAAGTGGTGCGCGTGGTTGCAGCGCAAGAGAGCGACCACGACAAACTCATGTGAAACACGACAACTCCCACGCAAAAACGCAACGCGTCGCACATCAGCACGGCTGTTCACCCCACCTCCGGCTGGTCGTCTGAGACGACGTCAACTTCGACCAGATATCTGGTGGAGTGTGCAATCACAGGAGGGGGCGTGATATGGAGTGAGCGGAGCCATGATGAGCAAGGTGAACCCTGCTGCACACTGATGACGCGCGAACACACGACACTGCGGACACAAGGCGTCATCGTGCAAAGCAGCCCCCCAGACAAACGCGTGTTCAGGTGTGTGGCTCGACATACCTGATACCGTCGCGTGGACTGAGCGCTTTCTGCTCGGGCGAGGAGAAGGGGGGAGGGAGAGAGAGGCGACAGTGCAGGTGGAACAGGAAGAAGACGAATAGGGAGACAATGAGATTGGGAGGACCCCAACACGCGTCCACGCACGCATGTTCATACGCACACACAGACACACAAGCAGCAGTACCAACAAACCTTTGCCTCAATCTGGTGAATGCGGTGAAGGCGAAACGTCGGCTTGTTGCTCGCGGAGCGGTGGGCGTTCAGTTTTGTCATGAATTTCTGCAGTGGGGGGAGGGGGGGCAGGCATGGCAGTGGGTGTGAGCAAAGAGGGGCAGGTGCAAGGAAGGAAGGAAGGAAGGAAGGAAGGAAGGAAGGAAGGGTTTCAAATCACTACAACATCGCCACCGCCATCCACAAGCACACAAACATGAAGCACCTGGGCGAGGGCGTTTGCTTCGACATCGGAGAGTTTCGGTTGCGGATCGCGATCGCCGGACGGCGGCGTGCCCTCACCGCGCTGGCGGTGATGATGACGACAATGGTGGTGGCGAGGAGACACGCGTCAGGCATATGTAGGCACACAGGGTTGCAACAAAGGTGGCAACACACACACACACACACACACACACACACACACACACACGAGCGCAAAACCACACAGACACACAGACACAAAACCACACACACACACACATACAGCCACACAGGCACACACACACGCGCGAGCGCAAAACCACACAGACACGCAGACACAAAACCACACACACACACACACACACACACACACACATACAGCCACACAGGCACACACATACACGCACACACGCATGCGCACAAGCGGCCTTACCGGCATCCTTGCGTCGTAAGTTGGGTAGAGGAGGGAGGTGCGGACAAGGTGTGTCTCCGCTGCCTCATAGCGCCGCAATTTGCGCTTGTGCACCCAAGACGGGGAGTACTCACACGCAGGCAGTGCCCCATCCGTGTCACCATCGCTCACATACGGGATCTGAAACGCAGCGGAGGGTTCGTGGAATGTGCAGTGAGAAAGGGTGTGTGTAGTGAGAGGGGGGGGGGGTGTGTGCGCGTGCGAAGAGCCGTATGCACGATCGGGCAACGGTGATGTGAATGACGATGAAGCGGGTGGAGCAATTGACATTGTGATATCCACGCAAACAGAAACACACATACACACACACACCCGCTGAATGTTTCCAAGGTGGTAGGAATGAGGGCTCTCCTGGCGACGACGATGAGTGAAAAGCACAGCAATGCGTGCGTGAATCGGCAGGCAAATTTCAAGTGGTCGCGGTGGCAGCACGCGTTTGGTATCGTGTACACACACACTCACACACACACTCACACACACACTCACACACACACACACACACACACACACTCACACACACACTCACACACACACACACACACACACACACACACACACACTGCCTTGCACAACACGGCCCCCGCGTGCACGGGTCTCACCTCTGCCTCCTTGACAAGCTGCATCTCATCAAGGTAGTTGTCCTCGTGCGTGTGTTTCATGTCAAAGAGCGCAAGCGCATCGCCCTGCGCAACACCGTGTTGTGTCGAGGGTGACATGGTGAGACGGAACGAAACCGAAGGAAGAACCACACAGGTACACCTGTACGTGGAGATGCACCTGTGCACTTGGGTAGCACACACACACACACACACACACAACAGGCAGGCAGGCAGACAGACTCACACACACACATGTGTCAGAGCCCACCTGGATGATATTGAAGGGCCCGCCATCAAGGGACCACGCGACCTGCATGTGATCGGTGCTCTCGCCTTGCTTGTGCAGTACCTCAAACGCATACGGGGTGTTCCCGCGCAGTGACAGCGGCTGGACGTATCGGTAAACACACACGCATACATGCGCACGCTGGATGAGTCAGAAGGGTGGCAGCTTGAGCGCATCATACACAGCCACACACACACACACACACACACACACACACACACACACACACACACACACACACACACACACACACAGCCACAGCCGCAGCCACAGACACACAGCCACAGCCACAGACACAGACACACACAGCGTTTCACCTTTGACTTTTGTGTGGCGAGGACATCAAACTTGTTTCTCGGGGTGGGCCGGTATGCAGAGGCAATGAGTTCGGCGTGGGCAAGGTCGCGGTCTGCGCTGAGACGCAGCTCAATCTGGTCGTCACCCGACACCGCAAATACATATGTGCCGTCGCGTGGCGGGATGATGAAGCCGAACACGCGCGTGCCAAAGGACGCAGACCGCACCACGTGGTCGAGTCGCGTCAGCGCATCGAGGTGATTCGCCTGGGGTCGGTGGTAATGTGGATGCGTTGTCACGTGCGTGAGTGCAAGGGTGTGAGGAAGATGAGAGATAGAGAGCACACGCAGAGAAGGCAATGAGAGAGAGAGAGAGAGCCCCAGGTGTGCGCGCAAGTATGGTGTTGGTGTCGCATGCATGTGTTTCTGAAGGTGGCGCTCCACCGTCACGGACGAGTCGTGTTCGTGTTGTGGACGGGGCACAAGGAACTTACCCTTGCAGGGAAGTTTGGATGGTTCTTGAGGATGCTGATTTTGCTCCCACACACGTTGAACCAGTAGTGGGCGTTGGCCATCCCTCGGTGGGCAACATCTGTCACATCGGCATCAGGCACTTGCTGCTGCTGCTGTTGCTGTTGCTGCTGCTGCGACTTTTGTTGTTGTTGTTGTTGTTGTTGTTGTTGCTGCTCTGGCCTGAGTGTGGTCTTATCTTTCTTATCTTTCTCGTTTCGGCCTGCTTCATTCGCCTTGTCTTCAGGAGCTGCTTCGCCTTGCTTCTTGTTCTTTTCAGGCTCTGGCTGCACGTCGTTCACGTTGCCCTGTTGCGCAACGATCTTCGAGGCCTGTGATGGCGGGCAGGTCGTGTGCGTGCATGGGCACAGGTCGACGTTGTGGATGGCCTGCACTTTGAGCTGCGCGATGCGGGACCAGCGCTGGAGCGTGTCCAGCTCCTCTGTAGTCAAAGAGAGGTCGTGCTTGTGCTGGAGGGTGTCCCGCGATAGCACTGCCAAGTCTGAGCTGTGCTGCAGCAGGCGGGCATTGTACAGCTGCTGCACGATGCGCGTCATGTCACCGGTGAAGCCCGGGTATGCGCGAACTTCTTCTAGGATGCCGATGAGGGCCAGCTCTGCGTCGTCCAACCGCCTCCGTGCGTCGCCACCCACGTGTCCTGAGGGCGGCTTGCTCACCCACAACAATGCCGTGAGCAGCAGGCCGCACAGCCCGACCGTGATCACGAGCGATGACCTCCGCCAACACGCAGCGCTGGGCTGCCTTGTTCGCAGCACCATCGTCAGAGATTGTCCAATGCCAGACCCCCTATGCTGTGTGTGTGTGTATTTGCAGTGTAGGTGTGGCAGTCGTGTCCCTCTGTCTGTGCGCAGCGGCTTGACCCCACGACGACGACGAGAGCGTTGCGAGCATACACCTAAGCAACAGAACCACCAAACCGCGGTGAGCGACGTCCGCTCCAAAGTCCAGGTAGCGACAGCACTAATTGTATCATTCATTAATTTTGCATGGAATCCTCCACACACCAACCAACAAGCCCACACGCCCCCTTCCAAAAACACAAGAAAGAAGGAGCGCGCACAAATCACAACACACACACCTCCGCTTGCTCGCCTTGTACCTCCGACGCTCTTGTGCTTGTCTCGACCTTTTTCGACAGCCAGGCCAACGACCATGTCTCAGGTGTGGCACTGGTGTTGTTGTGAGAGAATGTGTTTGGTTTTTCCTTGTCGCTGTGGCTGTGTTGTTTGACCAGGTGCCATGGGTGTATTGGCGTGTGTTTTGCATTGTGGTTGAGGCGGTTGATCGATCGCATCACACGCAAACACACGCACACGTCCGGACACCAAAACGAGCGCACCTTGTGATTGTCGTGTCAGCGTTGCCACTCGCTGCCACTTGCTGCCACTTGCTACCACTTGTTGTCGTTCATGGTTGTTGTTCTGTGCCCTTGTTTGCTCGTGTTCGTGCTTCCGTCCCAAACTCGCCTGCGCTCGATCTATCCTCACCACACCACTACCGCCGCAACCCACAACACACAATAACAACAACAACAACAACAACAACAACAACAACGACGACGACGACGACGACGCTCTACGCAGCAACCCCCTCCCTATTCTCCACAAGGCTACCCTCCACAGCAGGGGTACCCACAACAAGGCTACCCGCAGCAAGGCTACCCGCAGCAGCAGGGCTATCCCCAGCAGGGCTACCCACCGCAAGGCAGCAGCACACAGCATGTGCGTTCAAAGCATCGGCGAGCGTTTACATTGAGAGGCAGCCCGTATCCTTGTGTTGTGTTGTGTGTGCTGATTGTTTTGGCGCACTCACACTGCCTATGCCTGTGACTCGTGTTGATCTTCTGTGTTTTGTGCAGGTGACGGTGATCCATGAGCATCGTGGAACATATTGCGGGTGAGTGTGATCGCGCGTGCGTGAGTATGTGTGTGTATGTGTGTGTGTGTTTATGTGTGTGTGTGTGTTTTGTGTGTGCGTGCGTGTGTTTTTGTGTGCGTGCGTGCGTGTTTACATGCGTGTGTATGTGTGTGCGTGCGTGTTTACATGCGTGCGTTTGTGTTTGTGACTACTTGTTCGCGGACAGGACATGAAAGTATGTTCGCTGCTGTCCAGTGGCTCACGTTGTCCTCTGCTGTGTTGATTGCCCTACTTTTTTTCTCTTTCTCTTCAATTCTGACAGCCCCATCAGCCTTCTCATTGCCATCTGCTTCTTCCGTGAGTACCAATAGGCGTTGTTCCTGCTTGTTTCTGCACACGCGTGTGTGTGTGTGTGTGCATTTTTGTGTGCTAGCTCTTGTGTGCCTTTGTTTCTGTGCTTCCCTGCGTGCGCATGCTTGGGCGTGCATGTGCGCAGTCTCTGCCAGCACACACACACACACACTGTCGTGCGCCACGTTGCTGCTGCGGCTCGCCCATCTGTTTTTCTCACCACGCCACCATCTTTCGCACACCACCTCTCGCGCCATCCTCCTTCCCCTTCCTCTTTGTTTGCATTGTGTTGTGCAGCGCTTGGACTTCTCATCTGCTTTTGCCCTGTGGACCCTGCATAAGCATATGTGCATCTTGCCCATTCCCGCCCCGTCACAACCACAATCCTGTGGTCTTCTTTCTTGCACGGCCCTGCATCCCACCACTTTCTTCGTGGCTCGCGTGTCTAGTTGTCTTGCTTCACACTCCCCTCCACATAACTTTTCTACTTGTTCTTGCTTCATCCGTTTTGTTAGCCGCCGTTATCAGCCTCCTCTGTTCAACCGACTTGACTGACGCGTATGACATCTGCTTGTCCTTCTTTTACCCGCCTTGCTTCTTTCTTCTCCTGCTTGTTATCATGTGTCACAACCACACATGCGTGTTGCGTGTTGCGTGTTGCTGTTATCCTTCCGTCTTCACCTTTTTCTCTGCACCACCACTTCTTCTTCTTCTTCTTCTTCATTTGTTCTAACATGACATGAGTGAGACCTGCACCACATTACATTGGCCAACACACTCAGCAAGGCGCGCGTGCGCGTGAGAGAGAGAGAGAGAGAGAGCGTGTGTGTGTGTGTGTCTGCTGTGGTCCGATGACTCATGAGCGGTCGTGAGTCATTTCATATTTCATGCATTCGATCGCGTTCAGTCGTCAGTCAGTGGTGAAATTTCAAAAAACCGTCGCCGATCAAGCACGAAGACAGCTCACACACCACACACCACACACCACACACACCACCACACCGTTCATCCCTATCGCATCGCATCGCATCGCATCCACCATGCCACCGCGTCGCGGGAAGAAGAAGCGGCCCACGGGACCACCAAAGGTCAGCGCCACGGGCGAGCGCGTGCAGTTCAACCGCACCTTGTCGGTGATGATTGGTGAGCGCATTGGCGCCGGTGGATTTGGCGTCATCTACAAAGGTACGTGTGTGTGTGTGTGAGTGTGTGTGAGTGTGTGTGAGTGAGAGTGTGTGTGAGTGAGTGGGTGAGTAAGTGTGTGCGTGCGTGTGCGTGCGTGCGTGCGTGCGTGTGTGAGTGTGCACGTGGTCTTTTTTTCGTATGTGGCGTGTCGTGTCGTGTGGGTGAAGAGGCAGTGAACCGGGGCAGTGTACTTGCATCGAAATAGACCGTGACTTTGTGTGATGCGTGCTCTCTTCTCACATTCGTGCCCCATTCAACTGCGTGCCGCTCACAATCTATCCCTTTAGGCACGCGCTACGACAAGGAAAAGTTCGTTGGACCAGTCGTCGTCAAAATGGTGCGCTCCATCCTTCACATCTTGCATGACACTCACACATATTCAGACACAGACACAGACACACACACAGACACAGACAGACACAGACACACAGACACAGACACACGGACACAGACAGACAGACAGACAGACAGACACACACACACAGAGACACAGACACACACACACGACTGACGCTGCGTCCATGTGGCACTTGATGGCTCCGTGTAGGAGCACGCCTTCAGCACGGGCTTGTTCTCTGAAATGAAATGCCTGGAGCGTCTGCAGTTGGTTGAATGGCACAGCAAAGGTGAGCTTGATGTCGAATCATGTTGTCGTCGTGCACCCGCAAGTGAAGGCCCGTCTCCGCGTATGTGTGAGTGTGTGAGCGTGTGCTTTTGTGCTTTTTCTGTCTGGTTGGTTGGTGTTCTCATCGCTCGCCCCAAGTCCAATTCCTCGTGGCCATCCGCATGGAAAACTCACTCCCAGCCCACCAACACCGTTCTTGCCTTGATGCGCTCATGCTTGTTTTGTTCGTCATCAACTCGCCGCCGCCGTTGCTACTGCTGCTGCAGCGCACACAAAGTGGGTCAAGACGTCTTCGCTGAAGCACTTTCCCTTCGCCGTCATGCACGCGTGCAGCGTGGAGACGCTCAAAGGCGACGAGTACCGCTTCATGGCCATGCACGCGTGTGGATCAAGCGTTGCCCGCCTCATCTCCTCCGCCAACAACAACGTCGTCAACTCCAAGGCAAGGAAGGCGCCAGCACTGAACATACTCTCTTTGCCGCCCCATCACCGCGATCACATGCGCTCCCCTCCCTCGTATACCTGCTCCGACGTGCGCCTTTGCACAATCACGCCTCAGTCTGAGGGGCAGAGAGGGAGGAGGGGGTTACCCCATTGTCACACGCGATATTACCACCACAGCCCAATAAGCTCGCCCGCGTGATGCCTTTTACGTCCAATCAGTGTAACCTTGCTCCTCACCCCATTCATCCTCGGGTTGCATGTGGCCACCAGATCCCAACAGCGTCTGCGCTGGCCATCACACTGCAGATGCAGGAGGCGCTGCGTTATGTGCATGAGCGCGGATACATCCACGGCGACCTCAAGCCAGAGAACATCTGCATCGGTCAGCTGCCTTGCCCCGTGCTGTATGGTGTTGTGTTGTGTTGTCATGGGCACGACGTGCACCTATTCGTGCTCGTGCGAGATGCGCAGGCATTGTGATATCTTGCGCGCGTGACGTGATGTCTGACTCACCTTGTGGCTGTGCCGTGTTGTCATATGTCTATTCGATATTGTGATGGTGTGGTGACGTACTCACCGCCTGTCTTGGACTCCGCCCGGACAGACGAACAGCACCCTGGCCGCGTCTATCTCATCGACTTTGGCTGCTGCGAACTCTTCGAGTGCGTCGATTCGCATGTGTTGGCATGACTCATGAGACCATCCGCACAGTCCCGATTGTGTGACTGCATTTTGTTGAGGACGTGCGTGACCCAGTATGTGTGCGGGTGTGGCGTGCTGAACACAACACACGCACACACACACACACACACACACACAACACACACAAAACTCAAACACACAACACACGCAATTCACCGCTTGCAGTGCCAGTGGCGGCAGCATGACCAGGCACGAGCCATATGAGGTGTTGCCTGCACGCAAACACGACGGCACGCTCGAGTTCACAGGCGTCGACGCCCACGCCGTGCGTTGACTTGCACGCCTTGCCATGGGCGTGTTTGTGTGCGTGTTCAAAGGGAGAGGGTCGGAGATGGTTGTTTGTTTGTTTGTTTTTGTTTGTTTGTTTTTGTTTGTTTGTTTTTGTTTGTTTGTTTGTTTGTTTGTTTGTTTGTTTGTTTGTTTGTTTGTTTGTTTGTTTGTTTGTTTGTTTGTTTGTTTGTTTGTCTCTTTGCTTGTCTCTTTGCTTGTCTGGGTGGTTCTGAGAGAGTGTGTGAGCAGTTTGGACATGGGTTGACGAGTGCAGCAATGATGCGAGCAATGCCATGCGAGCATCCATCCTTGATTGTCCCGGCACCGCTCTCATTGTCATCGCGTTTGTCGCTGTAGGGCGCCAAGTTGTCGCGTCGTGGTGATCTTGAGATGCTCTGCTACGTCCTCCTGCAGTTTCTCCTCGGCGAACCAAGCTGGTCTGTGCAGGCGTGTGTGTTTGTGTGTTTGTGTGTTGTGTGTTTGTGTTTGAATATGCACGTGTGTTTGTGTGTTTGTTTGTGTGTTTGTTTGTGTGTGTGTGTGTGTGTGCGGAAGTTTGCTTGCGTGTGTTTGAATGCGTGTGTTTGAATATGCACGGGTGCTTGCTTGTTAATCAAAGTGCTTGTCGTTGTTGCTTTGACCACCTCACCAGCTCCAACAACAGCCTCCATACATTTCACCACTTTCTCACGCGTCAACTGCGTTTGTCACCACCGTTTGCTTCACGTCACCAGGTTTCCCATCTGTGCAAAGGTCACAGATAAGACCCGCAATGCCGCCGGTGACAAAGTCGAGGCGCAGAAACGGTATGTGCGTGTGTGTGAAGTGGGAACGTGTGTATTCGTGTGTGTGTATTCGTGTGTGTGCATGTGCATGTGCATTTGTATTCGCGGATGTGTGCTTGTGTGTTTTCATTTGTTGTCATTGTTGTGACATGTACAGGCGAGTCCTTGTGCATGTGTGGATGTACATGTTGTTGCTCTTCCTTGTTGGGTTTTGTTTTCCCTCGATGTCGCTCTTCCTTCAACGTATTCGCTCACACGCCAGCACGCACGCTGCCCCCCCCCACCACCATTCACAGCAAGCTGTTTGACTACCCCGGCGCATCTGGCATGACGACAGCAGCCATCACCGCTGCACGCAACCACCTCCATGCTCTCATCGGAAGCCACCCTGGCACAGGTGACATGTGTGTGTGCGTGTGCGTGTGCGTGTGCGTGTGCGTGTGCGTGTGCGTGTGCGTGTGCGTGTGCGTGTGCGTGGGTGACACTGTGTATGTGACTGTGTGTGTGTGTGTGTGTGTGTGTGTGTGTGTGTGTGGGTGTGGGTGTGTGGGTGTGGGTGACTGTGTGTGTGTGTGTCTGTGTGACGCACTATGTCTGTATGTCTAAGAGTGCGCATACGTCTCGCATGCTTCATGTCACTGCATCATCATGTTATTGTGCGTTGTGTTCTCACCACAGTCGTCCTTCTTTCCTCTCCCTGCCTTTAAGATGCTGTTGCTGATGTGTTTGCACACGTCATGTCGCTCAAGTATGACGAGAAGCCAGACTACTCTCGCCTCACAGCTGTCCTTCAAGCAGGTGGGCAGTTCGTGATGCACGCGCGTTTAGTTTTGTGTACAGCCAACACCCTTGATTATGAACAGTTGTGATGATGACCCTGTGAACTGACACCTGTGAATTGACACACACACACACATGCACATGTATTCACACATGTACACACACATGTATTTTTCACGTGTACACACATTCACACGCGCGCGCACGTGTTCACGCAACACAAATGCCTGTACTCAGGGCTCAAAGCTGCCAAGTCCAAGCTTGAGGCTCCGCTCCAGTTCAGCGCAGATGTCGTGAGTTGTTTTTCTGCTCAACCCATGCTATTACAACCCCAGCCCTCCCATTCACACACACACACACACACACACACACACACACACACACACACACACACACACACACACACACACACACACACACACACACATTACTGCTCACCAGTGTCCTTGCGTCTTGTGAGCAGGAGAACGTGAAGCCGCCCCGTACTGCTGCTGCATCGTCAGCGAAAAAGGCCAAGCGAACACCAAGCGCAACAGCCAAGACAACAGCACGGCGTACAGGCGGAAGGACAACGGCAGCAGCAAAACCAGCACCAGCACCAGCACCAGCAACAGTGGTGCTGGATGACGAGGAAGATGAGGAGGACGTGGTGCCAGTCAAGGCAGCTGCCAAGAGGAAGCCGAGGGCAGCAAAGTCAAGGTCAAGGGTGTCTCGCAGCAAGCCCAGGGCAGCGACAGTCGTGATGGACGACGACGATGAGGACGACGACGATGATGATGGTGATGCTGGTGACGAGGACTATGTGCCTGAAGTTCCCCGCGTGCGAACCAAGCGGAGCACGAAAGCCGTGGTGTCAAAGACAAAGACAGTCACAACACCAACATCGCCGCGCCGGTACCTTGCGCCCGTCAACACCACGGTGACGCCCCCGCACGCCAAGCCCGTGCGCAAGCGCAGCAGCAAGTCCAGCAAGTCCAGCCAGTCCAGCCAGTCCAGCCAGTCAATTGCACCCAAGCAGCAGGAGGACCTGGTCTTCATGTACGATGACGATGCGATGGACGTCTATGATGATGACGATGGTGGCGAGGGCTGCTGCGTGGTCATTGACGAGGACGTGGACAGCGTTGCCGTGGCAGGTGGTTTTGCTCCGCGCCGCAGTGGCCGCATTGCCGCTCGCCCGTCTGCCCGCACTCGTCGCACAAACGGGGGCAAGAGGAAGCAGTCGTACCACGAGGCCTTGTTCGAACGCCACAAGAGCGTCATGTCGTCACATTGACCCGTTTATATGTGTTTGCTTGTGGGTTGTTGTCTGCTGCCGCTATGTCTGGCGGTTCTTGTGCTGTGGTGTTTCGTTGTTTGGCACAGCTTCACGTTCAGAGAGCAAGTGATGTGACTGGCTGACATTGTTTCATTAAACGGTGTGATGTGACAGACATTTTTGGCACGCTGTGTTGTTGACAGCCGCTTAAAGTTGGTTGGATTCGTATCAATGGCGAGGGGAAGACCGTTGTCTGTTGTTTTAATGGCAGCAAAATGGAGATTGTTCAAGGTGGGAGCAAAGCTCGCAAGGAGAAAGAAGATGCAAAGTCGAACAGGAACACGCTGCTCGGACGGGCCTACGACATAACTTGCGATGTGCCTGTGAGTGTGCAAGGAGACAAGGGGGAAGAAAGGCACAGGGTTATCATCTATGAGCGAGAACCGGGGCTGAGACGAGATGGCTGCGAGCATGTGTGTGTGTGTGTGTTGTTATTGGATCAGCGATCACTGGCAAGTAAGTCACATCAGAGCGTGACGAACTTAATTGGCTGCACATGCGCCTCCCAGAAAGAGAGGGCCAGCAGCCAATGTAAAGGAAAGGTCGTCATAGTCGATACGACGGGGAAAAAAGTTATGCATCATGTCCAACGGAAGCGAATGATTTGTGGAGGCCAACAAAGTGGCGGACGTTCGCTATGGTTCAACTGACCGATCGAAACGCGGGCTTGGCAGAGCTCATGCGGGCAAGTCCGTGTGCGGCGCGCGGCGTACACTCTGCTTCTGAGCAGGAGCCCTGTGACCATCGAGAAGCCAATCGTACCAGCAGTGAGCGGGCGGCCAGATGACGCATGTTGTGGTGCTTGAGACAAGGAACAAGAAAGGGTATTGGGGTCTGTAGTTGGATCAGCGATCACTGGCAAGTAAGTCACATCAGAGCGTGACGAACTTAATTGGCTGCACTTGCGCCCCTCAGAAAGAGAGGGCCAGCAGCCAATATAAAGGAAAGGTCGTCATAGTCGATACGACGGGGAAAAAAGTTATGCATCATATCCAACCAAAACACAAGTGGGAGAAGAGAGAAGCAGGGTGTCTTTTGTGCAGCGTTTGCACGTACGTTGTTACTTCACGAGGTGTCCGGGGAAGAGAGGCTTTGATTGGCGCGAGTGATAGGTCATCACGGTAGCTTGTCGACCTGTTCACACAATCGACACAAGTGGGTGGCACGAAGTGAGCTTATGATCAGCGTGGGGTAAGACATGAGAGGATGTGCAAGCGAGGCGCGCTTGCGTATGTGTGGGCAAGCAAAAAAGTGCGGCGGTACTGAAGGTGGTTGGATCAGCGATCACTGGCAAGTAAGTCACATCAGAGCGTGACGAACTTAATTGGCTGCACATGCGCCCCTCAGAAAGAGAGGGCCAGCAGCCAATGTAAAGGAAAGGTCGTCATAGTCGATACGACGGGGAAAAAAGTTATGCATCATATCCAACCAAAAAAAAGGAGGAGGAGAAGCCACATGGCATGGTAGCAAGCGCAGGTGAGTACACACCTTGGTCTCATGCATCGTGGCATTCACGTGGGTGAAGAGAGGAGATGTTGAAGGGAGCGAGCGTCGGGCGCACCTTGAGCCAAGGAAAGGTCATCACGCCATCTTGCAGTGAAGAGAACGTCGTCGTTGCACGTGGCGGGGAACTTGGCTGGCTGGCTGGCTGGCTGGCCGCTTGGTTGTCGAGGAGGTTGGATGAATGAACGTTGGCAGCCACGTGCACGGAACAAGAGAAGAACAGAAAGTGGGGGCGAAAATGCAAGAACCCGCCAGCGTGGCGGGCACGGATATTGTTCATGGTGTGCATGAATTTTCTGCAAGGAAAAGAAATCAAGTTGTCTTGTTTTTGAGATTGGGCTGTTGCACAATTTTGTGCTGTTGTAAACTGTTGTGTTTCGAAACCGTTGCGGCAGGGCAAGTCAACGTCCTCAACGTCGCCGCTCTCACGTCGCATCTCACATCAAGCAGCAGCAGCAGCAGCAGGCATCATGGAGGAGCTGCCGACCTATGAGCTGGAGGCACAGTTCTTCGGGTTCCTGCCAACAACAGTGATTGATCTCGGTGAGCTTGCAGGAAAAAAAAAAAAAGATCGCTCTTGGGTTGAGCGTGGGTTTGTGATGTTTGCTTCCGGTTCGGTGTGTTTTGTGTCTTGTGTCTTGTGTGCATGCGCCTGCGTTGTTTGCCCTTCAGCGGTGACTGACATCCACACAACGCACACACACACACACACACACACACACACACACACACACACGCACACACACACACACACACACATGCACACACACACACACACGCACATACATACACACGCACATACATACACATACACACAGTGATCAACGCTGTGAACGACTATGTGTTGCTTTCTGCGGATTCATTGAAGACGTTCTTGCTGGAGAGCAGCAGCAGCCCTTTCCGAGAAGAACCAGATCACGTGTGGAAGGTATGGCAAAGGGAGAGTAATGTGCGTTGCTGCTTGCGTGGTTTGTGTGTGCATGTTGTGTGCATATTGTGTGTACGTGGTGTACGTGTGTTTGTTCGTGTGTATACGTCTGTTTGTAGCTGCTCTCTGTGCTCACATGTGTATATATGTGCTTGTATCAGGCTGTCACTGCTGTTGTGAACTTTGTGCAGGATGCAGTGGACAAATACTTTGACAAGTTTGAGGTGAGCATCTTGTATGTGCGTGTGCGCGCGTGTGTTGTGCGTGTGTGTGTTTGTGTGCGCGCGTGTGCGCGTGTGTGTGTTTGTGTGTGCGCGTGTGCGCGTGTGTGCGTGTGTGTGTGCGTGTGAGAGAGTGAGAGAAGAGCTGTGGATCTGCGTATGGCTGCGCACATATGCGTGTACATTCGTGGATGCAAACAGTGTGAGAGGTTTTGCTGCCAACTCATGCTCTTCTCGTCCTTCTCGTCCTTCTCGTCCTTCTCGTCCTTCTCGTCCTTCTCCTTTTGTTTCAGCTGTACTGCTTCCGCAACGTGTTCAAGATTCCAGAGGCGCTGCCTGTGCCCGGAGATATCCCTGCAGGCCAGCGCGCACCACAGCCCTCAGGAGAAAACAGCCTTCAAACCATCATCACAGACATTAACACGGTGTGTTGTGCTGGCACAGCTGTGCGCGCGTGTGTTTGTGTGTTTGTGTGTTTGTGCGTGTGTGCGTGCGTGCGTGTGTGTATATCTGCATGACCCTTACCTTGATGTGGTGCTGCTGTTCTTTGGTTAGGAGCTTGACAGGCACGCCAAATTGCGAGCAGAGCTTCGACGACTGAAGCGCGAAGCCAAGGTGCGTGCATATGTGGGTTTGCATGTGTTGGGCTTGTATGTGGTGGGCTTGTATGCGGTGAGTTTGCCATGCACTGAATGTCGTGTAGTAAGGGTAATAGGTGCGTGTTCATTCTTACTGGCTAGATTTTTCAACTGCGTGTGTGTGTGTGTGTGTGTGTGTGTGTGTGTGTGTACTGAATGCAGACCAACTCCTTGCGGCCCATCGAAAACGGCATCAAGCAGACGTGGTCATCGCATGGAGGTGTGTGAGCGTGTGTGTGTGTGTGAGCGTGTGTGTGTGTGTGTGTGTGTGTGTGTGTGTGTGAGTGTATTTGAGCGCCATGCTTTGTGGTTCTCTTCCCCTACTCTTTTTGAAACCAGTTCTCATCGTTGTTCATTCAACGCTTTGTCGTTGTTCTTGCAGGCAACCTGCTTCAAGATCACATTGTGTATCTCTGGGAACAGGTGTGTAAAGTGGTGTGCAAGTGTTTGAATGTTTGGTGTCGCTGCGGCATCTGCTGTGCATTCCCCCCCCCCCAAACAGCCTCGAAATCACAACAGTGGGAGACAACCACTCATGCGCCACAATCGAACCCCAATGCCACCGTTCTGTGTTTGTGTGTGTGTGTGTGTGTGTGTGTGTGTGTGTGTGTGTGTGTGTGTGTGTGTCTGTCTGTCTATCTATCTGTCTGTCTATCTGTCTGTCTGTCTGTCTGTGTCTCTCCCCCTCCCTCGCTCTCTCTCTCTCTCTCTCTCTCTCTCTCTCTCTCTCCCTCCCTCCCTCTCTCTCTCTCTCTCTCTCCCTCCCTCCCCCCCCCCTCTATCCCTCTCTCTCGCTCTATCTCTCTCTCTCTCTCTCTCTCTCTCGCTCTCCCCCTCCCCTCTCTCTGTCTCTCTCTCTCTCTATCCCTCTCTCTCGCTTTCTCTCTCTCTCTCTTTTTCTCCCTTCCTGTGCCCTGCCCTTGTTGCTTTTTGCAGGTTGACGGCGTCAAGGCTGAGGCACAGCGCGTGTTCACGCTGTTGCATGAGCAGCAGAGGTTGCAGGCAAAGCGCACGGCGCAGCAAGGACAACCCAAACAACAGCAGGCAACAGCGGTCGAAAGTACACCAGGCACCCTGTCACCGAAACGACCCAAAACCTCCCGCCCCATCCTCCCAGTGAGTGTTTTGCAGCGCTGCATACTTTGTTGCGTGTGTGACATGATGGTTGTATGTGTATGTCACACAGATGGATGTGTGCAAGCACACACGCAGACACAGACACAGACACAGACACAGACACAGACACACACACACACACACACACACAGACACGCAGACACGCAGACACGCAGACACGCACACGCACACACACACTCATGCTGTCGTGACTGTGAACACAACAATTTATTTTTTAGGACGAGGTGCTGGATTCGATGTGAAGTTGTTACGATTTGTCATGGACACTGTTACAAAATTTCTGCACAATTCGATATTTTCTGTGATTGACATTTTAATGAAAGATAGACACCGATTTTCTTATTCGTCAGTGGGCGTGTTGCGTATTTGGCAGTGGTTTTGTTGTGTGGGGGCTTTTCGTGGTTGTTTTTCGTTGTTTCGTCGTGCACAGCTGTACTCTGTTGCTTTTGGTTGGTTGCCTGCAGGCAGTCTTTGCTCTTGTCGGCCTTTCCTGTGGCAGTGCATTCTCAACTCCCGCAACCAACGACCAAACGCAAAGAAGCAACAAGAAAGCCAGTGCCCAGCTCAGCGTCTCCTCCTTCCCATCTCTGTCCTTCTCTGACTCCATCCACCCACCACCACCAGCATGGGTACGTGCGTGCGATGATAAGCTTGGAGGCGAGCGCTGTGCATGAGAGAGCAGCACACCAACGTTGTGCAACAAAACAAGTCTGGTCCACTGAGGCGGTGGTGGTGGTTTGTGTGTGTTTTTGTTTGTTTGTTTGTGTGTGTGTGTGCGTGTTTGTATGTGGGTGTGTCGCTGTCACGTCACCGCCTCCCGTGCTCAAACAAATGGAGCACCACAACGAGACAGATGTGGCAGCTGGAAGTCTATCTTTTGCCTCTCTTCGATCCCCTTTCCTTTCCTTTGGATTGGAGTGTGTTCCTGTTCTCTGCTCAAGCCACACGCTAGCATTCGAACGCACGCATGCATGCAAGCACATCCCACCACTCCCCTCGTCGTTCGCATCTGGCACAACGTTGACACTTGTCGCTTCTTTTGCCGTTTCTCTGTTTGTTTCCCACCAGGTTACGAGGCTCCCAAGGGTGTTCCCACCGTCTTCGACCCCAGCTTCACCGGCGTCGGCCAGAAGCCCGGTCTTGAGATCTGGCGCGTGGAGAAGCTTGCCGTCGTCAAGAAGAACCCAGATGACAAGGCACACAAGGGCGAGCTCCACGAGGGCGATGCCTACATCATCCTCCAGACCAAGGTGTGTGTGTGTGTGTGTTCGTGGCTACGAGCGTGCCGCTTTTGTGTGTTCGTGTGAGATCTGGTGCTATTGTTTTGTATTGGCGTTTTTCGTCTGTTCTGCCGCTGCCTGCACTTGGAAACATAGGCACACACGCACATCCACATACGCACACACACACATACTCTCTCTCTCTCTGTTCAACGTGCATGCACGAAACCCGACACCAACTGACATTGCACCCATCACGATGCATGTGCACAATTATCTCGACTCAACCACCCACCCCCCTCTTCAACACACCGAAACAGGAGGTGCATGGTGCGCTTCAGCGCAACATCTTCTTCTGGCTCGGCAAGGACTCCAGCCAGGATGAGCAGGGCGTGGCCGCGTACAAGACGGTCGAGCTCGACCAGTCGCTCGGCGATGAGCCCGTGCAGCATCGCGAGGTGCAGAACCACGAGTCGGACGAGTTCCTCGGCCTCTTCAAGAACGGCCTGCGCTACCTCGAGGGCGGTGTCGCCACCGGCTTCCGCCACGTCGACCGCGACGCCTACGAGACGCGCCTCCTGCACATCAAGGGCCGCCGCAACATCCGTGTGTCCCAGGTCAAGCTCGACCCAAGCAGCATGAACGAGGGCGACGTGTTCGTGCTCGATGCCGGCAAGGACATCTTCCAGTGGAACGGCAAGGGCGCCAGCCGCGTGGAGAAGTCCAAGGCCCTCGAGGTCACCAAGCGCATCCGCGACGAGGAGCGCGGTGGCAAGGCCAAGATCCACCTCATCGACCAGGGCAAGGACGACGACTCCCTGTTCTGGGAGAAGTTTGGCGTGAGCAAGCCCACGCGCATCAAGTCCGCCGAGGAGGGTGGCGATGACGCCAAGCACTCGCGTGCCGCCGCCGCCAACGTCACACTGTACCGCGTGTCCGATGCCTCTGGCTCCATGCAGGTCACCCCTGTCGAGGAGAAGCCCTACAAGCAGGAAATGCTCGACACCAACGACGCCTTCATCCTGGACTGCGGTCCCGCTGGCATCTTCGTCTGGGTCGGCAAGGGCGCCACCAAGGAGGAGCGCGCCTTCTCCATGCGCACCGGCATGGACTTCCTCAAGACCAAGGGGTGAGCGTCCTCTGTGTGTGTGTGCGTGTGTGTTGTGTGTGTGTTTGTTTTGTGTGTGTGTGCGTGTGTTTTGTTTTGTGTGTGTGTGTGTGTGTGTGCGTGCGTGGCAGGCGAGCAGTTGCGTGTGCGTGGGTTAGCTAGCTGCCCTTTCGTCAACTCACACAGCCGCCGCCTCACCACCTGTTCCCCTGTTGTGTCTTGTTGCTGGTGTCCATTTCTCAACAAACACAACCGCACACAGGTACCCCCACCACACCCCTGTCACTCGCGTTGTTGAGGGTGGCGAGACGCCGCTGTTCAAGCAGAACTTCCCCGGCTGGAAGGAGCCCAACGCCCTCCTCCCTGGCCAGACCGGCATCCGCAAGAAGAAGTTTATCAAGAAGCAGTTCTCTGCCGCGACCCTTCACAGCGCGGTGCGTGCACGTGGTTGTACATGTGTGAGCGTTTAGACGTGCCTTGCGTCGTCGGAATGGCGTACTCTTGTTGTTGTCATTATTCTCTTGCACCCACGATGCTCGCTCGTACTTTCATTCGTTGCTTTCGCGCTTTCATCATCCACACACACACACGCACACACACGCTCTCACACACACACACGCTTACACACACACACACACACGCTCACACGCACACACACACACTCACTCACTCACATGCTTACTCACCCTTGCTTTGTCACCATCAAACAGGGTGAGCGCCAGAAGGCGACCCTGCCCGATGACGGCACGGGCAAGCTCGAGGTGTGGCGCATCGAGAACTTTGAGATGGCGCCTGTGCCCAAGGAACAGTACGGTCACTTCTACTCTGGCGACTCGTACGTGATGCTGTACACGTACCTGCGCAACAGCAAGGAGGAGTACATCATCTACTTCTGGCAGGGCAACAAGTCGTCCCAGGACGAGCGCGGCGCCTCTGCCAAGCACGCCGTCGACCTCGACGACAAGTACGGCGGCGCCCCCGTGCAGGTGCGCGTGGTGCAGAACAAGGAGCCCCCACACTTCTACCTCGTCATGAAGCAGTTTGGCGGCATGGTTGTGCACGAGGGCGGCCACGCCTCTGGCTGGAAGAACGTCGACGACAAGGACTCATACGACACGGACGGCACCCGCCTGTTCCAGGTCCGCGGCACCAACGAGTGGAACACGCGCGCCATCCAGGTTGACGAGGAGCCCAAGTCCCTCAACTCTGGCGACGTCTTCATTCTTGAGACCCCGCAGAACGTCTTCCTGTGGTTCGGCAAGGGCTGCACCGGCGACGAGCGCGAGTACGCCAAGCAGATTGTCAAGCGCGTGTGCCCCAAGCGCGGCGCCAGCTTTGAGGCCATCACCGAGGGCCAGGAGCCCAAGGAGTTCTGGCAGGGTCTTGGCTGGGACATTGACACACAGGGCCGCCCCACCTACGCCGAGTTCAAGGAGCAGGCCATCCAGGAGTACCACGAGCCCCGCCTGTTCCAGTGCAGCAACGCCCGCGGCTACTTCTATGTCGAGGAGATCTTCGACTTTGATCAGAACGTGAGGGCTGCTTCTTCTTCTTCTTCTGCTGCTGCTGTTGCTGTTGCTGCTGTTTGAGTTGTTGTTGCTGTTGCTGTTGTTGTTGTTGTTGTTGTTGTTGTTGTTGTTGTTGTTGTTGTTGTTGTTGCTGTTGCTGTTGCTGTTGCTGCTGTTTGAGTTGTTGTTGCTGTTGTTGTTGTTGTTGTTGTTGTTGTTGTTGTTGTTGTTGTTGTTGTTGCTGCTGTTTGAGCCGTTGTTCTCTCAATGTGCCGTTTGCTTTGCGTCCATATTGTTGGAAACCTTGCTGCTGTCTCGTGCCTGGCACATCCGAGTGCTGCGCAACACACGTTTCTCCTTATCCCTTCACACTTGGCACCATCGCCCTCTTCCTTTCCTCACACCAATCTCCCACAACACACACTTTCACACCATGATAGGATCTGATTGAGGACGATGTGATGCTGCTGGACACCTACTTTGAGGTGTTTGTGTGGATTGGCCAGAACGCCAACCCCGAGGAGAAGAAGGGCGCGCTGCAGGCTGCCGTCGACTACGTCAAGACAGATCCCTCTGGCCGCACCGTCGACGACACGTGCATCATGCAGATCAAGCAGGGCTTTGAGCCAACCAACTTCCGCTGCCACTTCCACGCGTGGGACGACGACATGTGGTCCAAGGGCATGAGCTACGAGGAGCTCAAGGCCAAGCTTGGCAGCGAGGTTGAGGGCGTCGACGCCATGGCTGCGCTCGACGAGTGGTCTGGCAACAAGAAGTACCCCTATGAGCTGCTGCGCGATGGCCCTGTGCCAGAGACGGTCGACGTCACCGCCAAGGAGCAGTACCTCGAGGACGAGGAGTTTGAGAAGATCTTCAAGATGACGCGCGCAGAGTTCAACGCCCTGCCCAAGTGGAAGCAGAACGGCAAGAAGAAGGAGGTCAAGCTCTTCTAAGTCGTGCATGACAGCAGCAGCAGCAGCAGCAGCAATTCCCCGCGCAATTGCAACAAATCCTCACTCTTGTGGCGGTGGTGCGAGACAACAAGACCCTCTTCCTTGGTCTTGTTGATCCTTTACTGTTCATGTCATTCCTTCTTTGCCGGCCCTTCCTTGCACACCCCCTCCTTTGTTGTGTGTGCACTGACTTGTGCGTTGACGCTCGTTGCTTCCACCTCTTCTTCATTCCTTCCCCACTCGCTTGCTTGTTACGTGCCTCCTTGTGTGTGTGTGTGTTTTTTTTTTCGGCATGCGAGAACGACAGAAACCAAACACTCCCCAAGCACTGTCACCACTTTGCCTTGTCTGCCCTTCTTATGTTGTTGCCGTTGTTCGATGCTTGCAACGTCTTTTGTGCTGACTGACTGTTCTGCGTTGCAACGCGCCCCACAGTGTTGTTGTTTTTGTTTCTTACACCTGCTGATGATGAGCTGGCTGGAATGAATGCCACTCGCGAACACAATACAAATGCTGCAAAGCAAACGAAACAAGTGCGTGTGTGTGTGTGTGTGTTTGTCATTTCACGGGACCTCCACATTCAAATGATGTTCCTGTACTTGCCTATAACACATGCGTGCAAAGCACGCCCAAACTGGACACGAATGCGCAACAAACGACACGTCACAAATAGCGCACACCATCCATGCCTTGCATCCTCCAAGGGTCACGCGAAGTGATCGGGGATGACATGGTCAAACAAAACCATGTCGGCATGAATGTTGTTCAAGGTGCCGCTGATGGGGCGCGGGGTTGGGCAGTACAACGCATCCACGTGCTCACGAGCAGTGGACCCACCGCCGTTCTTGCCAAGGAAGCTCAGCCCAAAATCAGCATCCGCGTATTGCCCCTCTTGTTCCTGCTGCTGCTGCAGGAACACGCACCGCGCACACTCCCCCGTGGAGGCATCCATGCATTCCTCGTGTCCATATGTAAGGCAGGATCGGCACAGCCGAAGGGAATCACGCTGAATGTGAATGAACCGTGACCCGTGGTCTGAACTCTCATCCGCAGCACTGCTGGCTGTGCTCGGGTGGTGTTGACTCGGGCGAGCAGCACGTGTGCCATTCCCTTCCTTCGCTGCATTCTCTGTGCCATCACCACGGCCAGCACCGGCATCAAGTGCCTCAAGGCCGCTCACGTTGAGGTTGGACAGCTGCGCCGTGTACGCGACGGAAGGCATGCTTGCGTTCACGCCACCACCTCCGTGTACACCACTGCCAGTGCTGGTGATGGTGCGGTTGGAATGGAACGAGTGGTTCGTGCTGGCGTTTCGGCTTCTTGCCATCTGCGTGTGCAAAGGGTCATCGTTGGCAGCGTCCCAATGCTTGCAGTGGTCGAGTGCGCAGCATGCGCGCGGGCTCGTTGCCTGCAGGCACGAGGGGCACGCGTGCACGTGTCTCTCAAGCAGCCGACGCACGCTTTGCAGGCGGGGAATGATGGTGCTGCGACGGCGGTGGAGGGCGACGAGGTCCGATATGGACACCCGTGGGCCATCGTGGATGGAAAACTGCACAATGTAGCCAAGCAGGTCCTCAGGCAGCAGTGCCACCAGGCTGTCACGTGAAGAACACCCTGCCGTGTGTGTCGTGTGTTGTGTGTGTGTCGTGTGTGTGGTGTGTTGAGCGTGTGTATGTGTGAGGGTGTGTGTGTATGTGTACGTGAGTGAGTGAGTGTGTGTGTGTATGTGTGTGTGTGTGTATGTGAAGAGGGCGTGTGTGTGCGCGCGCGTGAGTGTGTTCGTGAAGAGTGTGTGAAGCAGTATGTGTGTGTCATGATACCGCCCATAGTGAATGCAAAAATCACCAACTTTGAGCGTCCCTGACAACCAACCTGGAAGGATGTAGTAGTACAGCAGCTGTTGTATCTCCGATCGCAAATGGTAAATCTGCAAGATGCGCTGCTTCCCAACGTGCTGCAAACAATCAGTAGTGTGCACAAGCGCACGTGCATGCGTGAGTTGCGAAAGAGAAAGAAGTGGCAGGAGAAGAGGCATTAGCACGGGCGTATGTGCGGCGATGGATGTGCCCTGTGTTTTGTAAAGTGAAAATGACACGGAGAATGGATGTCCTCTGACATGGAGAGCAGCTACATGGCGGGAATTCCAGGTGGGCGACACCCTCCTCCCACCTTGATGAATGCGGGGCTGGCATGGTCCAAGAGGACCAGAGGTTTGTGCTGATGTAGAACGAGGTGATCATGGCACTGGTTGCACAGCTTGTGTTCCTGTAAGCACGGGTGATTGATTGATCATGTTGTGTCGAGGAACGTGAGATGCAGATGCGGTAGATCATGCGTTGTAGGTGTGGAGAGCACTGTCACTGGCGCACACGCACGCAAACGGGCAAGCGTGCATGTGCACCTGAAAGTTTGCTTTGATCAGCATGTAGCTCGGGACAACGAAGGCCGATTTGCAGCAGTCGTGACACAACCGCCGAGAGCAGTACCTGCGAACACACGGGTCAAATGGGGGGGGGGGGGAACGACAGCATGAGAACTTGTGGAGACTGACGAGCAACAAGTCACACACACACACACACACACACACACACACACACACACACACACACACACACACACACACACACACACACACACACACACACACACACACACACACACACACACACACACACACACACGCACGCATGATCAGCGTTCGGAAACATAAAGCCAGGGATTAACAACACACAACCATCCAAACACGCGCACGGACATGCGAAACACATTGCGAACAAATCAAATGTGCACCTGCACACAGTTCGTCGGTGTGAGCGGGCGAGGGAGGGGCCGGAAGAGATGGCGCGCTGGCACACTTCACATGCGCCCGTCTCTGCAATTGTCTTTGTCTTGTTGGGCAAGCTGGTGGTTGGAGGCATGCGCATGCATGTATGAGGGGAGGAGGGTGTATGGTGTTGAAGGTGCGAGGATGTCTGAGGGTGAGGTGCTGTGGGGTGTGTGTATATGTGTGTATGTGTGTGTATGTGGGCGTGTGTGCATGTGCGCATACGTGCGTGTGTATGGGGTGGAAAACAAAGCACTGTGGCACTCCAGGCCACCGACCAGGTGTTGAGGAGTTCGGTGTGTTCATCTGCCAGATGCGGCTTTGTCTTGTGATTCTGCAACACAAACCCAGCGAACGCGAAAGCACCCAACCGTGGTGAGGAAGAAGGATGGAAGGAAGGAAGGAAGGAAGGATGGATGGATGGATGGAAGGAAGGATGGAAGGATGGAAGGAAGGAAGGAAGCATGGGTGAAGGTCCCCTGGAGCACAGTCGCCGCGCACACACAGACACACACACACACACACGTGCAGTTGTTCGCACCTTGGTGCTGAAGGCGAGGAAGTTTGATGTTGGGCTGCTTGCTGCCAACGACGTGGCTTCATCCCGGGCCGTGTCAACCGTCCTGCAATCGTGCGCGTATGTGTTTTTGTGTGTGTGTGTGTTTTTGTGTGTTTTTTTTTGTGTATGTGTGTGTGTGTGTGTGTGTGTGTGTGTGTGTGTGTGTGTGTGTGTGTGTGTGTGTGTGCATGAGGGTGAATCACTTGTGAGCGTTTGTACATCCTCATTTGCTCATCACAACAGGACAAAACTCAAGCGTTCAAAGGATGCGCATGACCACACGGCTCTAACGCATTCCAGCGACCAACCTCGGAAATGCAAAGACGAAGTCGTAGTTGATGGCGTCGGCGGGGGCAGGCGCTTCATGGATGTTGAGCTGAGATGGGAAGAGGATAACAGGCACACACGTGTGAGGGGTTGATAACGGCAGTGTTAGACGAAAGCGCGCGCACACCCACACCCACACCCACACCCACACACCCACACCCACACACACGCGCACGAGCGCACGCTCACACTAATTACGCCAGCTGTTCATACCCGAGTTGTTTCGAGTCCTCCGTGCACGCCTCGATCGAATATCAAATCAATAATGCCTTCACCTGGTGGCACGACCGCCACTTGTTGTTGTTGTTGTTGTTGTTGTTGTTGTTGTTGTTGTTGTTGTTGTTGTTGTTGTTGTTGCTCTGCTGCATTGTCGCCCCCATCCTGCAGGTTGTCTGCGTGTTCAATGTCCTCTTTGCTCACGCGCTGAAGAGCACTGAGCGCCAGCGTTTGCGGCTGCAGAGACACAACAGCACACCAAGACATGTGAGCTTTCCCAGCACATGCTGGTGGAATACGCAACAATAGGGCGTGTGTGCACAGACTGCTCAAACAGATGAGCAGAATAATGCAACAACGGCAACAGCGAGAACATCAATGCCAACTGCAACAGTGTTACAGCGATCATTCGTGCAGCATGCGAGCACCTTTCACCACAACATCTGCGCATACGTTTGTGTCTGGGTCTGCTGGGTGGTACTTGAGTTGCAACCATTCGCGCAGGAGTGGGCACGTCTCCAGCAACTGTTTCTCGTGTCGTTCAAGCTGCAGGGAATGCAGCCATTGCGCCTGCACGCAAATATAGCCCGCAGTGGTGGTGGTGGTGGTGATGGTGATGACGGTGATGCGTGAGCTGCGTTCAAGGCCAGCGAGAGAGGGGGGGGGGAAATGCAACGCAGCACATTCACCTCCGAGAGTTCCTGCACAGCAATGTCATAGCCAAACAGCTACACAAAGACATGCACGCACGCACGCACGCACGCAAACTCACGTCGACGAGCGGCAGCGTTGTGTCAATTCGCTGTTGCGGTTCTGCTGATCCAGGACGTGGTGTCGGCGCCAACAGTGGTGTCTGACAACATGTGCGTCGTGGTGTGTGTCGAGTGTGTACAGGCAGTGAGGCGTAAAGACAGGGGCAGAGAGTGTGCGGTAATAAACAAGTGATGATTCAAGTGGGTGCGACGTGATGCCAGCGCAAGCAACGCACACTCGTCCGTCAAAGCAAGCACAGAAGTGATGGCACACCTGTGCTAGCGGAATTTGACTGGCACTCAAATTGTCGTGGTGAAGAGATAGTCCACCCTCGTGCCCGTCCTCATCATCGCCGTCATCGTCATCATCATCATCATCATCATCATCATCATCATCATCATCATCGTCGCCGTGTGTGAGGTTGTCGATTGAAATGCGTGGGGCATTGTTGTGCTCCAATCCATCGCCAAATGCGCTCGCGTCGCTCCCCACATGATGATGTTGATGCTGATCATGCAGGTGGTGGTGACTGTGATGTTGGACAAACGCCGATTGTTGCTGCATCGAATGCAGCAGCTGCTGTTGCTGTTGGTGCGTGTAATCCTCCAGTGTCCCTTGTTCCCCACGCGCGCCTCGCTCACGGCTGGGCGCCTGCTTGACCGCGTGTGCGACCACCACGAACATATTTGCGTCGTTGTTGCGCGCATATGTCACTGTGACCCCCTCCGCTGCATGCCCAGTCGTGTCCAGCACGGGATACACCACGCGCCGGTCGCCCGAGTAGAGAGAGGACACATCCACGCCGCTCGCGTGCTCTTTCCCGACACTGGCGGGCGCAAACCAGGATTATGAAGGCAGAACGAACGTGCGTGTGCGTCGATGTGAATGCGTGTGTGTATGTTTGTGCGTGCGCGAGTGTATGTGCGTGCGCGTGTGTATGTGCGTGTTTGTTTGTGCGTACGTGTGTGTATGTTTGTGCGTGTGTGCGTGTGTGCGTGTGTGCGTGTGTGTGCACGTCAGTGTGTGCGCAATGTGTATGTAGATGAGAGCTTGTGCGCGTGCGAGTGTGTTGCGCAACATAGACTGCAAGAATCGAGGCAGCAGTACGTCCATGTGCACAAATGGGTGCACCTCAATGTATCGACGGACGAGAAGGAGACGATGCGCTCTTCGCGTGTCTGTCAAGCGAAACGACATGAGCTGACGCGAACAACAACGCACAGAAATACACAGATGCGTCAGCAACAAGTCACACACACGCACACACAATCATGCTGTGATGAACTACAACATACCTGAGGCTGAGCAAAAGCATTTGCGAGCGGTTGCCTGCACACACACACACACACAAATAGAGGTGGCAATCACATGTCGTGAGTAGTAGGAAGCAGCAGCAGTGATTCAACACCGCTTACTGTGATGACGATCAGCAGGTACCATGTATCTCACCCTGTGCAGTGTGCTGCGATGATGGAGTGGAGAAACGCTTCGTGCGGTTGGTCGAGCTGGTGTCGCTCCTGCGCCGTCAACCGGTTAAACTGTCACATCCAACATTGCAGAGATGGGCATGCGTGTGTGCACGCGCGCGCGTGCGCACGCCAGTGTGTGTATGTGCATATCAGTGTGTGTGTATGTGCATATCAGTGTGTGTGTATGTGCATATCAGTGTGTGTGTGCGCATATCAGTGTGTGTGTATGTGCATATCAGTGTGTGTATGTGTGTGTGTGTGTATTGTATGTGTGGGTAGTGCGCATGGGCGCCTATGCGTTGGGTGTGCAGGGAGTTGTCGTATGGCGCTGCAGTTGCCGTTATCTGTGTGATATGGTAGAGAGCCCGTGGCATGACGAGCAAAGCACGGAGGAAGCGACGAATATGATTCACCTTTCGTCGTACGAGCGACACCAAGAGCTTGAAGAACATCACTTGCAGGCGCTTTCGTTTCCACTTTGGTGTCGAGTCTGACGTGAAGGATTGGGAGACACAGGCGGTTGGGTCACATGTTGCTCCCGTGACACTCGCAATCGAGTCCAGGCGCATAGAATAGCCGGCAGAATCAGGCAGGCAGGCAGGCAGGCAGGCAGGCAGACAGACAGACAGGCAGACAGACACAGACACAGACACAGACACAGACACAAGCGCACCGGTAACGATTGCATACGGGCGCAACACGTGTGGCGCAAACTGAACAGCAATGGCATCGATGAAGCGGAGACGGGATCCTGGGTCCTAGTGTGTGTGTGTGTGTGTGTGTGTGTGTGTGTGTGTGTGTGTGTGTGTGTGTGTGTGTGTGTGTGGCGCACCCACACATGTGCGTGCGTATGTGCGTTGTGGTCGGTGAAGAAGGTCACGTAAGGACAAAATAATGAACAACTTCCTTTCATCATCAAGGGGAAAGAAGTGTACGACACACTCGTGCATGCTTGCAGGCACTCACGGGAGCGGCGTTTGGGTCGGTAGTGGCAGCACTTGGGTCATTGCGCTGGAGGGCGGACAGGTACGACAGGTGCCATTCTCCAATCTTGGAGCCTGCACAGGTGACAAACACACGGGTGCAGGATTGATGAGCTGGTGATGACACTGCGATAGCTGCTTCAGCTGGATGGCAGCGCAACGCGACTGTCCCAGACACACGCAAGTGTGTACATCCAGCCAGACAGACAAACACAGACACAGGCACAGACACAGAGGTGCACGCACACACACACACACACACACAGAGGTGCACACAGAGGTGCACACACAGGGACACCCAGGGACACCCACACCCACACACACACACACACACCCACACACACACACACACACACACACACACACACACACACACACACACACACACACACGCACACACACGCACACACGCACACACACACACACACACACACACACACACACGCACACACACGCACACACACGCACATAGAAATTCGATGGCGAGCCTGTTGTGCTTTGGAAGACTAAGGAAGAAGAGTTCCTCCATGTCTGTGCTGTGCGTGCGCGGGTGGGACGCCAGCTCGTCCAAGACTGCGTCAAAGGCCGCACATCGCACCTCCTCATCTACAGACGACATGGGCAACGCAGCAACGTGACACACATGCAACACCAGCAACCACGGCGCTCACCCATCTTGCAGGCAGTCCCCACTCCTACATGATCGCTCCAATGCCTCAACCACCAGCACATATCCAGCATCCCTCAAATCCACAAATCCATGTCAATGCTAAGCAATGGGAGCGGCTGTTGACTGACCTGCCGTCAGCGCGATCTCGCTGCGCCGCCATCCCTCTGCCAATGTCGCCTTCACGCTCTTCAGCTCTTCCGCTGCAATCGGGGACTTGCGGCCCAGCACGGCCGTGGCGAGAGGTGCAAAGGCGTCGTGGGTGGTGATGGTGGCGACGCACTGCTGCATCATCTCCTCGCAGATGGTCAGGCACGTGTCGTAATGGGGCTCCGGGATGATGGGCGATGGCAGCTCGCGCAGGAAGGTCTGAGCAACCAAGATTGGCCATGAGCACGAGACTGCACACTTGATATGCGAAAGAGCACGCAAGCAAGCAAGAGGGTATGCCGCAACGAACGTGCCAGCATCAAGCACGTCAACGCGCCAGCCCCAAACTCAAACGCACACAGGGGTGTGGGTGTGCATGGTTGCGCACCTTCAGGAGGCGAAATGCGCAGGGAACGGACTTGCACGCCTGGAGGTTGCCTTTGTTCACTTCTCGCTTGACACGCGCAAACCTGTGCAAGCAGTGCAATGTTAGTATTGTGCTGCTGTGAGAAGATCAAGTCAAACAAAAAAGATAGTGGCTCGCTAGACCCGCTTCGATGGCGAGAAGCAGCGTGGGCAACATCAGATTTGGAAGGGCGGAAACTAAGACGTACAGGTCGCGGTCGAACATGGGCAGCGTCATCTGCAAGAACTGGTTTGGGTGGCCATCCACTCTCCACTTTTCGCACGCATCGCGAAGATATTCGCACACAAACACCAGCACTTGTGGCAGCTTTGGATCTGCGGAAGGTGTGTGGTTATGATTATGTGAGTGTGTGTGTGTGTGAGACGGTGGACAGAAGAGGCAGTGAAGTTGCACGGGCGCATAGGAAGGACGCAGAGAGACAGCCAGACACACAGGCAGGTAGGCAGGCAGACAGTCAGACAGAAGACAGATAGACAGACAGACAGCCACACAGCCACACAGCCACACACAGCCAGACACAGACACAGACACAGACACAGACACAGACACACAGACACAGACACAGACACAGACACACAGACACACACACACACCTCCTGGAGTGGCTGGAAGCATGAGGGTCTCCAGCGGTATGCCAAAGCAGGCCATCGTGTCACGCACGCACAGGCAAAGGAAGGAACGATGACAGCCTCCTTCACCACCGCCGTCAATGAAAACCAAAACACAGCCGAAAATTGACGACAGTATCAACAAATCTTCCCAACTTGAATAGCTCAGTCATCATCCGCGTTGCTTCATTTCTCGTCAACCTCGCACATCCAACCAACCACCGCCATCCAACCATCAACCGAGTCTATCCAACCACCCATCAAAGGCAGGCAGGCAGGCAAGATGGAGGGAGACACAAAACAGGAAGACCAGCCACAGCGTGTGGTTGTTGTGTCGTATGGAAAATCAAAGTACACCATTGACACGACGGCCATGGAAACAGTCGGTATGTGTGATTGTAGTTGTGGTTGTAACAGTTGTTGCGTGGCGTGTATTGTGTACGTGCGTGCGTGCGTGTGTGTGCATGTGTGTACGTGCGGGTGCGTGCGTGTATGAGACTGTGCCAACGGTGAGGACGAAGAGGGTGAGTCACACCATGAGGTGCACGATCCATTTGCTGGCGTGTTTTCTGCTCACTCTTGCACCTCCTGCACTGCAGGCGATTTGAAAGCTCGCTTGGCTGAGCTGGCCAACGTGGAGATGCACAACCAAAAGCTCTTGCACAAGAGGTGTGTGCGAGTGCGTGTGGACGAGTGGGTGCGCGAGTGAGTGTGTTATACTTTCGTGAAAGTTGTAGTGCGTTCTCTGCGTGTGCTGCGGCTTCTCTGAAGGCTTGTACTTCCTATTCCCTTCCTTGGCTCAAATTGCTCATCACCATTCATCGCTTGCGTACATGGGTGTGGGGGTTTTTTCCTGGCGAACAGTCGGCAGCTACAGGACGACACGGAGCTCTCAGATTTGAAGCTGCGCAAGCGCACGACCATGATGCTTGTTGGCACACAGCAAAGCCAAGTTGAGCAGCTCAAAAAGACCGAGCAGGTATGTACTGACTGGCCATGACACTACACATTTGATTTATGGCGTACACCCACTCATATAGCACAAGCACAACACACACACACACACACACACATACACTCTTCTCTCCCTCTCACACGCACATACACTTATTCACAACACACGCACACCTTCTCTCTTCTCTCCACCACCGCCGCCACCACCACCACCACCACCACCACACACACACACACACACACACACACACACACACACACACACACACACACACACACAACTGCAGAAATTCGAGGCGCGGGAGCGGGCGTTGGCAAAGCGTGGAGCGGTTGTCACCACATCGCCAATGGCAGCCCAGGAGATGTTGTTTGGTGCACTTGAGCCGCTCCCCGATTCAGGCGACCCAGCAGCACCGCCGGCATCGGCCGCCCTCGACCTCCTCAAGCGCCTCGCCGCGGACCCAAACATATACGCCATCATGAAGAAGCACAAGTGAGTGAGTGAGGATGAGGGTGAGAGAGAGAGTGTGTGTGTGTGAGAGAGAGAGAGTGTGTGTGTACGTGTTCGTGCATGTGCGTGTGTGTGTGTGTGTTCGTTTTCATGCGTGTGTGGATGTTGGTATGGGCGCGAGCATGTATTTGAGGCGTTTCGATTTTGCCTGTGCGATCATGCGTGGTAGCGTGCGACGCCGCTTGTTTGCCAGCAACTGACGTCCATTGCTTCTTTCTCAGCCAACTCCCCTATTGCTTCGCACTCACCGTTTTGCTTTGGTCCTCCCTTCCTCATGCCTGTGCAGCTGGCGTGTTGGCATACTGAAGGAGTTTGCGCCGAGCTTGGAAACAGGCATCGTCGGCGTGACAGATTCGTGCTTGCTCGGATACAACCAGAACAAAGGACAGGTGATTGCGCTTCGGTTGCGTACGGACGACTTTGAAGGCTTTCGGCACTACCACGTCATCATCCAGACCTTGCTTCACGAACTGGCACACATGGTTCACAGCAAACACGACCGGAAGTTCTGGGACCTGTTCCGGCAGTTGCGCAAGGAGTATGACGAGCTTCACTGGACCAAATCGGGTGGGAGGCAACTGCAAGGTGCGTCATCATCAACAACATCATCAGCGTCAACAGCAGCATCGTCATCATTTCATCCTCACACCGGTGGCAGCAGCAGTACGGGTGGCACGCAGACACCCGCGTTTGCCGGCACAGGTCACACTGGGCAGCGGCTCGGGGGCGGCACAGCCCCACTCACACCAACACCGACACCAACACGAACAGCAACAGCAACAGCGGCACGTGGCAGTGGTGGTGGCGGTGGCCGGGGTCAGCCAATGACGGCTGCAGAGGCTGCGCGAGCAGCAGCACTCCGACGATTGCAGCACACGGAAGACACGTCCACGTCTGCACCTGGTGTTGATGGTGGTGGTCGTGATGATGCTGGTCATGTGAATGGTGATGGGCGTGGGGAAAGCAAGGCGAAGAAGCATCGCCAAGGACGCACAGGTGGTGGCAGCGATGGCGGCGGCTGTGGTGATGGCGACACGAACACCACAAACACGGCCGAGTGCAGGGTGAGCTCGAATGATATGGATGTTCAATGTGATGGTGATTGCAGTGGTCGGGGTCACGTGGCGCATGTTGACGTCAGTGATGGTAGCGGTGGCGTTGGTGGCAGTGGTAACGGCGACGAGCAACTGGTGGTGCGCGTGCGTCGCGAGACGCGACCAGGTGAGATCACGCCTGAGCGGAGGGAGGAGATCTATCGTAACGCCATGTTGGCGGAGATGAGGGCGGTGGGTCCAGACCCGTTTACATACCGGCCGCGGCGCAGCGTTAAAGTTGGCAAAGGTGCGTGCAAAGTGTGTTTGTGTGCGTGTGTGTATGTATTCATGTATGCGCGTGCGTGTGTGCGTAAGGACGCGCGCGCGTGTGTACTTATCGAGTCTCTTCTCCTTCAAGCTCTATGTTCCTTTCAGCTGTGAGCGCTCTCCTCCTTTCCCCCTCTTCCCACTCCTCCCAATCGCCCATTAGCCACCAACTGACTCACCTCTCTCCTGCGTGTCCATGTTACCTTCGTGTCGTCAGAGTACCAAGCAGTCCTCCCTGATCTGCTGCCCGCGCCCAAACCCGACATCACAGATGCCACCACTCGCGATGATGCTGATGACGATGGTGACGATGGTGATGGTGGTGATGGTGGTGGTCAGAGCGGTGTTGAAATAAATGAGGGGGAAGCGTTGCGGGAGACACCCGTGTCACTTGATGCTGTTGTTGTCCGCTCGCGCCATCGTGGTGGTGGTGTTGGCGGTAGCATACAGGAGCGGAAGTGATATGGTTGCAGCCGAGGCAGCAAGGGCAAGGGTGTGTCGCATGTATGGTGTGTTCTCTTCTTGTGTACGTGTTTGGAACGGTGTCCACAACAGCGCAAATACACCTCCAGCTGTCTCCCCCTCCCTCCTTCAGACCACATGTACATGTGCAGCACGGGTCGTATCTCCCTTGTGAATGAATCAAAACTCGGGGTGTAATGTCAACGAAACAAGCCGCGCTGCGAAGAGTGAGAGATGAGAGAAGCACGTGGGCCACGAAAGGGTGGGGCAACAAAACCTACGATTGTCACAACGAAACTGCAAGCGAACGCAAAGAGAATGGCGACGAAGACAGAGAAGGAAGCAAGACGAAGGGGCGGGAGCAAGCGGTTGAGGAAGCAACAGCACCAGCTGTTGATGTATAGAGAAAGAACAGGAGCTTGCTTACTGGGAAAGAGCAGCCACAGGGTAACCAAAGGCAAACACATGACAGGACAGAGGTAAGGAAGCAAGGGAGGGAAGGAAGGAGGGAAGGAAGGAAGAACTGAGTGAAAGAGCAACATCCGGTGCAAGCACACGCGAAACACGCAGCGGGTTTAGGTGCAAAAGGGCTTGAGGAGTGAGGTGATAATGCCACCCTGCTTCTCGCCAAAGAGGCGCGGAAGTGCACAGTAGTTGTACGGCATCCACGTGTTGCGCGGGAGCGGGTAGTTGACGTACTCGTTCAGCAGCAGCGTCGCCTGCCAGGAACATTATGGAGGAGGAGGAACAAAGACCCAGTGGACAGTTTGGGGTTGCAATTCGCGTTGCAAGACCAAAGAAGGTGTTGGTGTTGCAGAAGGCAGTGGGTGAGCGCAGAGTAAGGCGTGAGCGAGTGAGTGAGTGTGTGTGTGAGTGAGTGAGTGAGTGAGTGAGTGAGTGAGTGAGTGAGTGAGTGAGTGAGTGAGTGCGTGAGTGTGTGTGTGTGTGAGTGTGTGTGTGAGTGTGAGTGTGAGCGTGAGTGTGTGCATGGGGCATGTCACAGCATTAACAGCAGCATGGCTGGCAATCCCATCCATCTCATCTCTCCGCGTGCTGGCGTACAAAGTCGATGGGCGCAATGACGGCGTCCTTGTCGATGCGGTTTCGCTTCACGAGATCCGCCCGCAGCCGCTCCAGGATGGCAGACAGCTGCACCCGTTCATAACAGTGGCGGTGGTGGCGGCGGCGGTGAGTAGGGATGCACATATTGGCACATGTACACGTGTGTGTGTGTGCGTGTGTGTGTGTGTGTGTGTGTGAGTGTGTGTGTGTGAGTGTGTGTGCAAGCAGGTATGCGCCGTGTTGCGTTGTGTGGTTTGAGCACGCTTGCAACGTGGACGCCACTGCATCATCATCACCACCGAGGTGCCGGGCTCACCTCAAGGGGAGGGGTGTTGTCGTAACGCCGCTTCTCTTCCTTGGATGCAAAGCACTTTGACCGCCACACCTGACAAAACCACATGAAGAGCGGAGAATGTTGAGCAAATGCCAAACACGCACGCACAGACACAGACAGAGAGACAGAGAGACAGACACAGACAGACAGACAGACAGACAGACAGACAGACAGACAGACACACACACACACGCACGCGCGCACACACACACACATCAGGCATCATGAATTGGCTCACCAGGGCGATGCGCAGGTCTGAGAACTTGTATGTCGTCACGACTTTGCCGTCGGCCACAACGTTCCACAGCGTGTCCCGGGTGGGGGTGGTCGGGGTGTTCTTCGAGGAGTACACAAGGCTCGGCTTGCTGTCCCTGTGGCGACACGGCGGGGATTGTCGTGTTGAAAGGTGCGGAGGCAGACGTGTGTGTGAGTGTGTGAGGTCTTTGTGGGGGGAGGGGGTACACGGGTGAGAAAGCAGCAAACACACACACACAGACACACACACACACACAGACTTTTGCATCATGGGTGCATCCGTGGTGCCAGGGGGAAGGTAAAGATCGGTGCCATGAATGCATTTGGAGCCGTCGAGAAGGATAGCGGAGCCTGGGCGTGGGGCAAGGCGCCCTGGAGCGCGCTCAGGGCCTTCATGATGAAAGAAGAATGAGCCTCCAAAGGTGGATGCAATGTCTGCGTCCGTCATGTTATCCACCTTCCACGGATGAATGTAGGCCACACCCTGAATCTGTTGCGCGCGCGTGTGTGTGTGTCGGTAACAACGTGGTTAACGGAGGGCGGCAAGGTGGAGGAGGGGGTTATGTGTGTGTGACGAAGCCATGCAGCTGGTGGCAGCTGGAGAAAGAATGAACGCAGTACATTCACACACACACACACACCTGTGGGAGGTCAATGTCGTGGAAGAGGCCCGAGGCGTGCATGACGACGAGCAACCAGATTGGATATTGCATGCGGTCAGCGCCCCAGAACCACGGTGCATCGTAGTGCATGGCAACCGTCTGCCCAGGGATTTGCACAATAACTCCCTGCCACGTTGTTGTCATTGTTGTGTGAGTGAGTGCGTGCGGGAGTGAGTGAGTGCGTGCGTGCGTGCGTGCGGGAGTGAGTGAGTGAGTGAGTGAGTGAGTTAATGTGAGTGAGTGTATGTGTGTGAGTGAGAGTGAGTGCGAGTGTGCGTAGCAGTAACATACTGGCTCAGTGTCTTGTATGCAGAATGATAAGCAGAGACACGCATCCCCCACCCTTTATCCCATCATCTCCCCCTCTACCCTAGTGGTGTTTATCTTACGAGTTGGAACGGGTCGAGGTACGGGTGTCCCGGGCAGACCTTGTCCACGGCCTTCTTGTATGCGGGGCTCTCAAACAGCTTATCAATCAAGGGAATGTTTTGGGCCAGAGCGTCCTTGTTGCTGCCAATGAAGAACTGCGCAAACGACAGGAGCCGGCTCACCAGCTTGTCGTACGACTCCTTCAGTCCCGTGTTGCCGCCCGTCAGGACATAATGCCTGCATTTGCCGATGGATCAGGGCAAGGAGGGGAGTGTTGGTGTGTGGTGAGTTGGATGCATAGACGAGTGACAGCAGAAGCAGAAGCAGAAGAAGGGCCACACGCAGGACCAACCAGGCACCCCACAAATGCATGCCATGGTCAGAGTCACTGACAAATGCACGAGCACGATTGCATGGGGAAGCACAAGCACAAGCACACACACAAGCACAAGCACAGACACAAGCACAATCACGAGCATGAGCGCGGGCCAGCGTGGTGTTACCTGCCAATGTCCAGGCGTGGGGCAAGGATGCAGTGGGATCCGTTGCGAGACGGGACCATGAGCGGATGCGTGCATCCTTTCTCAGGATCGTACGGTACGGCCTCGCCGATGTTGTCCGTGGCAGGTGTTTGGTCTACCATGTGCGTGCATGTGTGTGCATGTGTGTGGTGGAAAGGGCGTGAGATCACGACGAGGTACAAATGAGGAAGTGTTTGGGGGTTGGTGGTTTGGTTGGCATCAATGAAAGCTCTGTAGTTGCATGTGTAGTTGCTGCTGCTGCACCTGAGATGACGCTGAAGAACTCGCTGTAGCTGCGCACCATGTCCGCGAGCTCACTTTGCTCCTGCCAGGCGAGGAAGGGGAGGGGGAACAAGGGTGGGTGGATGGCAGGAGGGGGATGGGAAGGCGGAGTGGTTGAGATGAAAGAGCTTGCAAAGAGGGTAGACGAGAGAGGGAGACGCTATATCGCACACACACACACACCCACACCCACCCACACCCACCCACACCCACACACACACACACACACACACACACACACACCCACACACCCACACACACACACACACACACACACACACACCGACCTGGGGTGTCCAGATCTCGTTGATGATCTCATACTCGTAAGGCTTGATGACCGGAGCTGGCTTGAGCCAGTTGGCAGCCACAAGCGCCACCAAGGCCACCACCAGCCCACGCCACTGCCATCCACTCAAGCTGCTCATCATCTCTCCCACTACTGCTGCTGCTGCTGTTGTGTTCGGCGGCGTCTTGCATCAACCACCACCACCACTGGCTGGCAACTGCTGTCCTCAAAATGCAGATGTTTATTGAAAGATATCCAACAAAAGTCAGCAATGAACGAAGAAACGGGCGACAACGTGGATGGCGGCGCATGTTGTTGTTGGCTTGTTTGTTTGTCAGCGACCACCATGATTTGTAGACAGGACTTCAATGAAGCAACAAAACAACAAAGAGACAAGACCACACACATCACACATCACGGCAGCACCATTAACAAAGGAGGAGAAGGAGACAGGCAGGCAGCTACACACGAAGAGGGTCATGGCATCAGTTTTAACGGGAGTGATTAGTCGTGGCCGACACACAGAGTGTGTTTGCACGTAGTTTGTTTAGCAGTAGTCTGCAGATTTGGCAGCAACACCACCTACAAGGCGGGGCGGAGTGAGATGGAGTGCAAAGGGTGCAACAAAGATGTTAGCTGAGGGAAGCGAAGCGCACAGAGAGGGCGTGCACGAGCGCTGAGCGCTGTCTACACAAGCACAGACACAAGCACAGACACACAGACACACGCACGCACACACACCGACACAGAGACACACACACGCAAACGCACTTTTCCAATCGTCGCAGCAAACTTCGCCGTATTCACTGTAGAAGGAGATGCAGCCAGAGGTGCTCTTGGTACCCGTGCGCTCATCAAAGCAGTGACACTCCTGTCAAGCGAAGAAGTGGGGAGGGGGGAGGAACACGATTGGGTGAGGCATCGTCATAGGCGTGGGGTGGTCGGTGGAGCAGGGTGTGCACGACAAGATGAAGTCGCAGACACACACACACACACACACACACACACACACACACACACACACACACACACACACACACACACACACACATGGGCGAGTGATTACCGAGTATGGCGGGGAGTAGAGGTGCAGGCTGACGGCGCGTCGGCTATGGCTTGTGTTTGACACGCGGTGTGTGCCAATCTTATCTGCTCCAACAACAACGATCAGCAAAGGCATCACGACAAATAGGCGTCGGCAACGCAAGCATGTATGAGAGAAGAGAATGCACATCGCCAACATGTCACACATTGCAACCGACAGCAGCACGGCGACAAAAAAAACAAAAAAAAAAAACAGGCGTTCCTTCGCATTACGCACCGCTGATATAGAGGACACCATCGCGATCATGAGCTGCCTCCACGAGCGGTGAAAGCGTCTCTCCCTCCTGTGCACACAGCACACACACACACACATATGGTGCCACACAACAAGCAGTGAGCAATGAGCAGTGAGCAATGAGCAGTGCGCATACACACACGTGCAGACAGACACACACACACATGTACGTACACACACACACACCGATATACAGACAGACACGTCGGCAAAGGGGAAAATCCTTTTGCATACAAGCTGACCTTGAGGTCGTGTGGCGGGCCAAAGAGTTCCTCCACGAGGTTGCCGTCAAGGATCTTCATGAAGCAATGCGACCCCGCGTGGTCGTGGATGGAACTGAAGTGGAGACAGGGACACAGGCAGGCAGGCAGGTACCCATGGAGACGGTCAACAGAGCAGAGGATGGATCCAATAGCAGTACCCCATTTGACGGGCAACGACAACACACAGACGCAGACACATGCACAGGCACAATTACGGCCAGGAATATGTACCTTGCTTGCCCCATGTCCCAGCAAAGGAGCATGAGGTTGTATTTGCCGTTGCCGCTGTCCACGAGATTCCTCGTGTAGCTGTTGTAGGAAGAAAGCATGCATGTGAGACAGCACCACGACAGCAAACACAGAAAAAGACGCACAAGCACACAGACATACACACATACTCAGCAGTAATGACATGGCGCGTGAAAAGTCACAACCGCATCCACCTCATATCCCATACCAGTGGTCGTCAAAGTGGGCAAACTGCTTCCAGTCCTCCGTTCGGGACTTGTACCTGTGCAGCGGCAGCAAGCATACGAGCAAGCACGTGACGTGAGTGAGATTCTGGCCATGAACTGCTTTGCTTGGCTTGAGGCAGTGGGAAGCACACGCTGCCTCTCTTCACTCGTCTGCCTTGCCCAAGTTTGCACACGCGTCATGCATGCGCATATGGCATGCTTACGAGTTAAGGATGCTGTGGATGTGTTCAACGGACACGCTGTCTTCATCCAGCGCCGTTCTCAGGTCCTGGAGCATCTCATCCCAGGTGCGGGACTCCTTCTCCACTCGTGCACCGCTGCTGCTGCTGGGGGACGAGGAAGTCGCCTGGGATGGCTTCATCATGCTTGCACGCATGTCTTGAGCGCAGGGCTTGGTCTGCATCTGCATCGTCGGGGTGGCCTCCATGGCGGTGGACATGGAGGGGGAACCTTGATCGTGGTCAGTCATGGTGTTGCTGTTGGTGGCTGTCGTTGCTGAGTCAGAAGGCGCGGTTGTGGTGGACGAGTGAGTGTGTGATCGCCGTCGTGGTTGAAGAAAATGGACGGACGTGAGACACGATCGATTGCACGATTGTTATTTTGTCGTGGCAGCGATGATTCCTTGATCTTGTGCTGCGAGTGTCGTTGTTGTTTAGCTTGGGAGTGTGTGTTTGACTTGTTGCTTCGCTGCTTTGGTTGCGGTTTTTGTTGAAAGCAGTTCTGCGCGCGGGGGTGTCTCGCTAGACCGCGTGTACGCTGCGCAAGCGTGGGTCGGGTTGAGGCAAGCCAGTGCAGTGCAGTGCAGTGCAGTGTATGTGTGTTGCTGTTGCTGTTGTTGTTGTTGTGCATGCACACCCCCCACCACGACGAAATCAGCAGCAGCAGTGCAGACGAAGAAATGGTGGCGGGGAACGGATGTGCCATAAGCAAGCTGCGCAGAACGCACCAGCACATATGGAAATAGACACCATAAAGTGTAGTAGCATGCATGTGTGTGTGTGTGTGTGTGTGTGTGTGTGTGTGTGTGTGTGTGTGTGTGTGTGTGTGTGTGTGTGTGTGTGTGTGTGTGTGTGTGTGTGTGTGTGTGTGTGTGTGTGTGTGCAGAACGTGCGCTCTCATCGCAAGCTAGCTCGCAAACAAGCAAGCTACAGTCCCCTCTTTCAATAGTCGTGTATGGACAAAGAGGTAATAGAGTTAAGAGGTGTGTGTGTACATGTTCAAACAAGCTAGAAGAAGTCAGCGTTGTCATCATCAGATAATAGAGGCCGCGAGTCGTCACGAGTTGCCAGTCGTGGCATCGGACCCACTAGTCAGTATCGCCACCACTGTCGTCGTCCGTGTCACATGTGCCTGCCACATGATGTCGTGTCACGCATGGCATGTCAGTCCACAACAACAACAACAACAAAAAAAGAGGGTGGAATACGGGCAAGGAAGCCGGGAAGGACAAAATGACCCAAGAACAACAACAGCAAAGAGGGTGCCATCGGTGGTACTCTGATGACACGGTTGTGCGAGGCACAACAACAACAACAACAACAACAACAACAACAACAACAACAACTTAAACGACAACAACTTAAACAACGACAACTTAAACAACAACAACTGAAACAACAACTGAAACAACAACTGAAACAACAACTGAAACAACAACTGAAACAACAACTGAAACAACAACTTAAACAACAACTTAAACAACAACAACAACTTAAACAACGACGACAAACACGTGTTGGTGGCATGCAAACAGGGCAGCACCTTCAAAGTGTGGGCGACGAGAGGATGGTTGTCTCCGGGCAGGGCTGGCGGACCCCAGAGATGTTCCGCGCACTTCATGATCAAACGTTAACAAGGTGCATATGGTACAAGGATGAGTGCGCGATGTCTCTGGAGGGGTGGGGGTGGCGAGAGGAGCTGGAGGTACAGGAATGGCGGTGAATCACGCGCCCGGTGAACACAACACGCAGACACATACACACACAGACACATACAAACACACACACACAGACACACACAGACACAGACACACTACATACACGCACGCACGGTGTTGGATGAGGCCTTGGACGTGGTACTCGTCGAGTTGACTCTGCAGCTCAACGTTCTGCCGTTGAAGCGCAAACAGCTCCTGGTCTTTCCGGGATATCCGGTCCGAAAACTCAACAATCACTGCACAGATGCGCGTGATTGTGTGATTTGTGTGTGTGTGTGTGTGTGTGTGTGTGCGTGTGTGTGAGGAGGGAGCTATGGTGTTTGCACCGCTCAAAGCAGCACCACACACATACACATGCACAAATGCACACACTCACACGCACACAAACATACACGTTCAACCATGCCCATGTTCAAACATACATACAAACATGCACACATGCACACCTTCTGAGGCCTCTGCAAGTTCGTCCTTCAACGCGAGCATGCGCTCGTTGCGATCGGCCAACTTGGCCCGCAGGTGGCGCACCTCCTGCCGTGCGCAATGAGAAAGAACAAAACAACAAAGGGGGGGGGGCATGGGGGAGATGAGCGAGAGGCGTGAGGAGTGAATACATGTATGACAGAGTGTGCACTCATGAGCGCAAGCAGGCAGGAAGACACGTATCCAGAATGTACAGACACACACACACACACACACACACACAGACACACAGACACAAACGAACCGCTGTGAGGGCGTCGGTTGTGGCGGTGTGTGCGGTGGACCTGACACTGCTGGTCTCCGAAGGGGAGCGGTCTGCACACTCCTCCCTGCGCCTTGCCTCGCGCACGCTGAGCCGGGGTGTTGGCGGTGTCGGCTGCAGACGCGGCCGGCGACGCAATGGGGCCGGCGTGAAAGCAGTGCCATCATCATCAGCACCACCCTCACCCCCATCCTTGTTGTCATTGTCATTGTCGCCACCGCTACCCTGGCGGGATCGTGCGCGGACAAGCTGCTGCCTGAGGACGCGCAGCTGCTTCTGCAGCGCGCCGATGTCGTCGTTGGCCTGGTCGATGATCGTGTGCTTCTCCGCCTCTCGCTCGTGCAGCCGCTGTCGCAGGTCCTCAATCTGTGTGTGTGTGTGTGTGTGTGTGTGTGCGTGTGTGCGTGTGTGTGTGTGTGTGAGCGAGAGAGCGTGTGTGTGTGTGTGTGTGAGCGAGAGAGCGTGTGTGTGTGTGTGAGCGAGAGAGCGTGTGCGCGCGCGTGTGTGTGTGGTTGTGGTGAAGCAAGTACAAATCATGTTGCTGTCATGAAAACACACTGTCACCGCCACCAATGTCCACCGTCACGCCCATCAAACTAACCACGTCCTCATACTCCTTATGCATGGCCTCTATTCTGTCTGTGAGCTCCTGAATTTCGTCCTCTTTCTCCCGCACGGTGTGCTGCAGCACAATATCATCTGCCATGAGAATGCTCCGCCGGTAGCTTGATGGGTTCCCTGTCGAGTCCAGCAGCAGCTCGCACGCCCGCTGGAACTCGTCCCACGACCAAACCCCATCCTGGCTGCAGCGTGCCGTGCGTGTGTGTGTGTGAGTGTGTGTGTGAGTGTGTGTGTGAGTGTGTGTGTGAGTGTGAGTGTGTGTGAGTGAGTGGAATGAGTGAGTGAGTGAGTGAGTGAGTGAGTGGAATGAGTGAGTGAGTGAGCGAGTGGAATGAGTGAGTGAGTGAGCGAGTGAGAGGGTGTGTGAGAGGGTGTGTGTGTGTGAGGGTGAGAGGGTGAGAGGGAGAGTGTGTGAGAGTGTGTGTGTGAGTATGTGAGGTTACAGAAGTGCACTACGATTTGAACCTTGTCCAGCCAACACGATAACTGCACGTACTCAAAGTCAAGGATGTCGAGGACGCGCTTGGCGTGGTCCGTGGTCACGTGGCGCGGTGCAAACACGCCATCTGCACAAACAAGCAACAACACCATGCCGTGAATTAACAAGGCCATATGTCGACAATTGCGACAACACTCACTCACAACAATACACACACACTCACTCACAACACGCGCACACGCACGCACACACACACACACACACACTTACGTGGGTGCATGTCGTCTGTTGGCGACAAGAGTTGGGAGATGAGGGCCTTGACACCGGTAACATTGATGCCTTGAGACATGCCCGTCCCCGTCACGGCCTACGATCAAGTGGGAAGCAAGGAAAGAAGGACGCAAGGAGGCAGGCAGGACGGCGACGTGATGACCCTCTGCAGTCAGCAACGAAAGCAACTTGTACGCGACACAGCTTCACACACACACACGCACACAGCTTCACACACAGACACACACACAGACACACACAGACACACACAGACACACACAGACACACACAGACACACAGACACACAGACACACACACAACGCTTTGTCGATGGTGCGCATGAGAGGCAGGTGTGAGAGGGTGGCAGGCGCGCATTTCGAACATAGTTGGAGCGTTCATTCATCCCGTGTTCGTACATGGGAGAACATGGCCCGGGTTGCCTTCCGTTTCAGCATGGCGTCGTTGGTTTTCGTCGTTTCCAGCTCCTGCTGCGAGCTGCGCGCCAACGAGTCACTGTTGGTCGCGGTGGGTGCAGTGGTGGTTGTACGGCCACGCATGGTTTGCGTCAAAGCGGAAGCGAGCACACACACACACACACACATATATGCATATGCTCAAGTGTTCGCGCGCATGAGATGGTGGGTGCAATGTGCGGGCAGCCAAGCGTGCGTGTGTGGTTGCTGGGATGATGATGGTTCAGAGCTCTCACTTCAAACGCCCTCACGTCATCACGTGCTGTTCGGTGTAGCGTTGGCTGGTTGGGTGATGTGTGTGGTGGTGGTGTGTGCTCGTGTGTGTGTGTGCTCGTATGCGTATGTGTGTGCGTTGTGACTTGTGATGTAGCGACTTATTCGTTTGTGGGTGCTCTGCATGTTGTGGGGGGTGTGGTGTGGGAAACTTACTGGATGGAGGGAAGCTGCCGCTTTCTGCGCCTGTTTCCGGGAACGTCGTCCTGGCCGTGTGGCGGTGACTCCTGGTTCGGATCCTGGACCTTCTTGTTCTGTTGCAACTTTTCGCTGGGACTGTGCTGTTGCTGTTGCTGTTGCTGTTGGCCTTCTTGTTGTTGGAGGGGCCTTTCCGGTGTGCTGTCGGGTGCGTCTTCCTCTGCCGTAGCGTCGTCGTCGGGCGGCTGCAGGAGCCCAGAGCCCCTGGCGCGGCAGCGTTGGAACAAAAGGAACGTGGCGTGTGCGGGAGTGAGTGTTGTGATGCACACACAAGGCGCGCAGCGCCAACCACACAAACACGTTTGCACAAGCTGTACCACACATGCACACGCACACACACACACACAGAGTTGTACACCAACCAACCAACCAACCAACCAACCGACCAACCAACCAACCTGAATCTTGACCCGAGCATCGTCGTCGTTCGTGGTCCGCCAACCACCAAAGTCGCCAGTCACGTCAACTGCTCCTCTCTTCTTTCGTGTTGGGTTGTGTTGGGAAGACCACTCCTCCCAAAGCCAAAATTGACTTTTTCAGTTGAAAGAAGGCAAAGTTGACCTTGGAGGAAAAAGGAGAGGAAGTGGAGAGCACACACAACGCACAACGCACAACGCACAACACAAGCGAGAGAGCAAGGAGGGACATCATGGGTGGAGTGGACAGCAGATTAAGACGGCAAGGGAGAGGTGGAGGTGGAGGTGGTGGAGGGCGCCTTGTGGTGAGCGATGACGAGGATGAGGATGACTTGATTGTCGTGACACAGGAGGAGACTGGTACATGGTCCCTCATCCAGTCCCGAAGCGTGGACAACGAGGAAATCACCATCTTCGAACACAACCCCGCGCTCGCCGCCAAAGCATCACCGTCGTCCGCAGTCAGCAAAGCAAGCGTCCTAGAGATGATTGACAACGCACGCATGCGCTTCAGGTCCTTGCGCCACCCTTTCCTGGTGAAAATGGAATGGCAGCAGGTCGACGAAGGCGTCATCAGCATCGTCACCGAACCCCTTCTGCCGCTGCGGCAAGTCCTGCCCACCATGTCTGAGGGCGAGGTTCTCCAGGGCATCTCAGAACTCGCCCAGGCCCTCAACTTTCTCAATGAGGTACAAAAATGGATTCTTCGCGGCTTGTCCTTTGTGTGTGTGTGTGTGTGTGTGTGTGTGTGTGTGTGTGTGTGTGTGTGTGTGTGTCTGTGTGTGTGTGTGTCTGTGTGTGTGTGTGTGTCTGTGTGTCTGTGTGTGTGTGTGTGTGTGTGTGTGTGTCTGTGTGTGTGTGTGTGTGTGTCTGTCTGTGTGTCTGTGTGTGTGTGCGTGTTTGTTTGGGAGGGGGGCAACGCCGGCAGTGCCATGGTTTGGAAAAAAACGAACTGTCATGGTGTCTGCCACTTGCCTGATATGCTCAGTGTGTGACCGCGTTTCCCGCGCATGTGTATTCGCTCGAAAACGTGCTTCACTGGCCACTTTGCACACACATCAAATTTGTTACGTCGTGCACATATGTACATTCACACACACATGCGCGCGCACCCATGCGCACACACGCGCACATGCTAACGCTCAACGTGCACGTTTATTTTCAGGTGACCAAGTTGGAGCACGGCAATTTGGTGTGCGACGCGGTGTTCATCTCAAAACACTCATACACGTGGAAGCTGGCCGGCTTTGAGTTTTGCAGACCAGCTGTAAGTTCCTCCAATCAACCTTCCTCTTTCCACGTTGTGTCTGCTCTTCGGCTCCGCAGCATGCTGCCCACATGTGTTTTCAGCGATCATTCGTGGTCGCAAATGACTCACCAACAGCCCATCTCGCACCCACACGTCGCGTCCACAGGATTCGCCCAACGACGCCGCAGGCTTGCAGACCTTGCTTCAGGAGCTGCTGGAGCTCGCACCAAGCCCAAGTGCGTTGGTGCGTGCGTGCGCGCGCGCGCGCGTGTGTGTGTGTGCAATACGTATCTTGTGCGCGTGTGCGCATTCATTGGTAAGGCTGTTTCGGCCGCTTGGCGCTGTTGGAGCAACGTATACCATCCATGTACGTCGTAACACTTCCCATCACGTGTCACCTCTCCCCTTCCTCCCGGTATCATGTTGTCTGTGCAGTGCCACGCGTGCAGCGTGTGCTTGAAGACTTGCAGCGATCTTCTCGCATCAGGGTAAGGTGCACTCCGGCGCTTTCTCTCACCCACCCACCCACACATATTCACACTGCTTTGCTGCCTGTTCTGGTTCACGTCACTGCAACCGCCATGATCACCACAGTCATTGATTCACATGATGAACACCTCACGTCCCGTGCCTTTGCTTGATCGTTTACGCTTTGAATACCATTGTAGGACCTGCAGCACAACAAAACCATTGCGTACGTATGCTCTTGCCAACATGTGTATGTGTGTGTGTGTGTTCGTGTGTGGAAGGCGTGGGCGTCATTAACTCGTCCTTTTGCTCACACTCTCCATTTTCGATTCTTACACGACCGCCGTGCCTCTGCTTTGCGTTTGCTTGGTGCTGTGCAAACCATCAGCGATGACCCGCTTGTGTCGTTGCTGCGAGACATTTCCGACTTTTTCACATTCGACCACCAGCACAAGCAATCTTTTCTCAAGTGCGTGAGTGTGCAGTGTGTGTGCGTGCGGGCGTATGTGTGTGTGTGTGAAGACGTGCCGTGGTGCGCATGTATCTGTATCCTTATGTTGCTTACCTACTCGCTCCACCTTTGCGTCCACCACCACCTCCTCCTCTACGCCACCACCACCACCTTCACCACCGGTGCCTGCAGGTTGCTGTGTGCGCGGCTGTCGGCGGTGCCTGTGCTGCCTGCTGTGCGTCGCGTTGCCCTCGGTGCTCTCGCCCGCGCCCCGCATATGGCCGACCCGTCCATCCGGGCAGCCATCATCGCCACCCTGCACCGCACCCCACCGGCAGACACCAACGACAACACACGCACTGCACTTCGCCTGTACGTTTGCCGTGCATGTCACCCTCTCGTCTCTTGCACGAACAGATGCAGGCTGATGCATCACTGCTGTGATGAAAGTGCGGACCGCCATACACTCACACACCCTTTCGTGCTTGTGTGCGTGTGTGTGTCTGTGTGTGCGTGTGTGTCTGTGTGTCTGTGTGTGTCTGTGTGTGTGTGTGTGTTTGCAGGGCGTTGCGGTCGCAGGTTCCCCGTGTGCTGCTGCGGGTGGATGCTGCTGCCGTTATTGTCCTCGGCCAGTGCTTTGACGCCATTGCCTCACTCCTCCCGCGCGCTCGCGTCAACAAGTGCGCCCGCCTCTTCCAACAGGGTCCGTGACGCTTTGGCCTTCATCAAAACTGCTTGAGTCTGTTTCTATGTATGTGTGTGTGCATGATCTGTCGCTGTAACTGACGACCACCCACCACCACCACACATGTCACACACCACCACCACCACCACCACCACCACCACAACCACCACTACCACATCACCACCACCACCACTATTCAACCGGCCAGGCCTGCGGGATCTGGACGACGATGTTGTGCTGTCGTCGCTGCTCGGCCTCGCCGGATGTGTTCGCGTTCTCGGCGGTGCTGTCGTCTCACCGTCACGAAAGCGCGTCTTCCTCCCGTGCATGCAGGTGCGATAGTGCGCACGCGTGGGTTGGTCTTTTGGTCTCTGTGTGTATGTGTGTGACTGTTAGTGATATGCTGCGCATCATCGTGTTCAGGTGCACATGCTCAGACCCAAGCAGTCTCCCCTCACAACCACCGTGACACCACCACTGTGACATCACCAGCCGCGGTCTGGGTCAGCGCCGCCAGCCTCTGCGTCGCTGTCGGCATCACACATGAGCGCAGCATCAACAGCGACCACCGCCACCGCTGTCACAGCACCGCACTCCACGCCGCCACCGCCCTCCCTATCAGCAGAAGTAGCATCAGGCCCGCCCCACACGCCATCGTCAGCAGCACGCGGAAGCAGCGACGATGGTGGTGATGATGGCGATGGCAAGAGTACTGGCAGTGGCGGTGATGTGCAGCGAGGTGATGGCGGCAGCGGGCGAGGTGGACTTGCTCTAGGGCGGAGGGGGCAATCAGCAGAGGAACGTGAGGCTCGCCGACAGGAGCGGTTGGTGCTTTCTTCCATGGTGTTCCACGTTCCTTTTGTCGCCCCCTTGATTGAATCGTGTTGCACATTGCTGCTGTTGCTCTTCCTTCCTTCCTTCCTTCCTCCCTTCCCTCCCTTCCTTCCTTGGCATTGTTTTCTGCCTCCTTCCTCACTCTCTGCCTCTCTTTCTTCACCTTCCATCCCTTCTTCTGCCTCTGCTTCTCTTCCTCCAGTCTTCACCTTCTTTTATCTTGTTCTCCCCCGCCGTCTCCCCCCAGTTCCCTTGTCCCTCTCTCCCCCCCCCCAAACCATGCGCGCAGGCGTTTCCAAGGCTGTCGTTGTCACATGTGTGCATGCCATACGCCTCTGGAGTCAACGGCGCGCTAGAACAAAATGAGCTGATGCATGCACTACCTATGCATTGCGTCATGCGTTGTGAAGGATTGTTGTGCGGGGTAACCAGTGTTACTGTGCTGCGCAGTCCTCTCACGTTTTCAGCCGTCCTTTCGTTCCTATCCTTCATGATTTCACTTCATCATGTGTTTCTGTTTGAATGTTGAATGGACGGCACAATCCCCTTCCTCCTTCTCTTCCCCCATTTCCTCTTCTATCGCTTCTCCTCTCCCCTTTCCTCTTGCCCTTCCTCCTCCTTCACTTCTTCCTCTTTCCAACATCAAGCAACTTGGCAGGCTCTGCCCCCTTTTCACAGACACACACACACACACACAGACACACACACACACACACACACAGACACACACAGACATGCACAAACATCCATCCACACGCGCTCACCCCAACACCCTTGATTCTGTCCCCTTGCCTTGTCCCCACGGCTGCTGTGTATTCTGGCTGCGGACATATTGTCCGGCTAGGCGCCGCAAGAACCAGGAGCGACGGGAGCGTTTGAAACGCCAGCGCGAGGAGGCAAAACGCGCACGCGAGCTTGAACAACAACAACAACAGCAGCAGCAGCAGCAGCAGCAGCAGCAGCAGCAGCAGCAGCAGCGAGGGGAAGGCAGCGGGAGTGATGGCGACCGCGCTCATGGAGATGGTGGTGGTGATGGTTGGGGCAACGACGACTCTGACGATGGATGGGAGGACTTTGATGATGTGGAGCCCACAACTACAGCAACAGCAACAGCAACAGCAGTAGCCGGGTCAGCGCGCGCGCAGCGTGGTGATGGTGATGGCGACGTTAAAGGGGGAGTGCAGAGGTCACCACTCGCACATGCTGGCAGCAGTGGCGTTGGCCATGGTGGCTGGTCGGATGATGGCTGGGATGCCGTTGATGATGACAGCACGACTGACGCGAAAACGGACGAGGGTGCGAAGCAACGCGGTGGGGAGAGGGTGATGAACGAAGCAACCGCGTGGGCATGGGGTGATGGCGATAATGATGCCACTGGCGTTGGCAGTGGTGCGGCTGACAGTGGGAAACACAGCGGTAGAGTTGCAGCGTTGGCAAAGCAGAGCAGAGGGGCAGCATCGGGACCAAGCCGCGACACAAACGACACTGACGATGGCAACAATGATGATAACGATGGTGATGGTGATGATGGCGATGGCGATGGGTGGGGTGATGACAACTGGGGTGATGATAGCGACGACGACAACACTCGTGACACCACGACGACCACGACAACCACCAGCAGCAGAGCAAGTGGTCAAGCATCATCTGTGTCAACCTCAGCATCGACAAACCAGTCAGTTCAACAACAACAACAGCAGCAACAACAACAACAGCATGCTAGGGTGCACGGTACTGAAGGGCAGCCGCCGTCACCGTCGGCAAAGCCGCAAAAGAAGCGAGGAATGGCGCTCAAGCGAACAAAGAAGACAAAACCGACGCGCAGTGCGCCAACGCAAGAGCAGCAGAGACAACAGGAGAGGGATGGTAGCGGTGGGATGGCCACACCAGAACCGCGAGGAACTGTGCACGCTGGCAACAACGACGGCATACAGCAGAGCAGCGCACCAACCGTCCGTACGGCGCGCGATGAGACAACCACAGCAGCAGCCAAGGCGGGCATCAACGCGAACGCGAACGCAATGCAGCAACCAGAGCAACAACAGCAACACCAAGGGGAGGAGGAAGAGATTGACCTGTTTGCAGATCTCGGTATGGAGTCTACGGCTGCCCGCGCACGAGCAGCAAACGGTGGTGTAGTGGCGGCAGCGCCACTAACATCCTCCAAGGCCGCGACAACACCAACCGCACGAACACACGCGGCAAAGGATAGCGCGGAGGACAGCGTGACGAAGGATAGCAGCAAGGATAGCGGTAGGACTGCCCACTCGCTCGAATTGCTGCACGGCGCCAAGCAAGACGATGACATTGCGCGTATGATGGCTGACTTTGACACGTGGGACAGCGATGGCAGCGATGGCGGCGGCGGGGTTGTGTCCATTGGGCAACTCGAAGGCGACGAGAGCGAGGTGGCAGGATGGGGCACCGATGACGATGATGACTTGGATGATCTCTAGCGTGCGCATGGGAATGCGTGCGTGCGTGCGTGTGTGTGTGTGTGCAAATGTGCGTGTGTGTGTGTGTGCATAGGACGAAACCGTTGAAGCACGTGCGCTGCTGATGTCGTTGGTGTAATCATTGACTGACAGCGTAGACATGCATCCAATACACAGACAAGCACGGGCATGATGCAAGGAGCGAGGACAAGCGAACGCGAGGGAGCCGACCAAGACGATGTGCAAAGCTGCAATGACGATATGCAAACATGTGATGGCCCTGCAAAGAGCAAGTGCGAAGCGAGCAGAACCAACAAGCAAGCAAACAAGCAAACAAGCAAGAATAATCGAGCGCTAGAGACCCAAGAGGCGATGTGATTCAATTACAGGCTGCACCTGAGCAGCCTCGCCGAGGCAGTGTGTGTGTGTGTATGTGTGTGAATGTGTGTGTGTGTGTGTGTTGAGAGGTCAGAGGAAGACGACGCCGGCGGTTGTGAGGACGACGCCGCTCAGGACGAGTTCGGCGGTGAGGACGCGGCGGCCTGCAGCGGCGACAACGCAGGCGGTGGTGGTGAGGGGACAACACACTTGAAGTACAGCTCACACGCACACACGCACGCACGCACACACACACACACACGCACGCACACACACACGCACGCAGGCACACACACACACACACACACACACACACACACACACACACAGCCATCCAACCTGTCTTGGTTGCGAAGAGAAATGCGATGGATGACGCCGCCAGCAGCTGGTGTGTGTGTGTGTGTATTGGTCGTGTGTTGATGTGGCGTATTTCATGAGGCGCAGGAGAAGAGGCTGTGTAAGAGACATGATAACGACGGCATGATGTAGACACGCAAGAACAACAACGCATGTGCATGCAGGCACACCATTTGTCCTGCGAGGGTCCATGGACGTTCACACAATTCGTATTGCGGGCCGTCAAAGCCGTAGCCCTGATGAAAGCGCTGCATCAGCCTGTGGGATGTGTGCGTACGCAGATGTGCGGTGTGTGAGTTTGCGTGTGTGCGTGTGTGTGTGAATACTTGTGTGCGTTGGGTTGCGAGCGTCAAGTACAGGCATGTTTGCATACACGGCACGCCAACAACGACAATAATACGCACGCTTCCTTCTCCTCGAATCTCTTCCGAAGCCATGCATCGATATCAGCAGCATTCTGCGCGGCCGTCATGAACACCAACATGTGTACGGGTATTTGAGTGTGGGGCTGGTGTGAGTTGCACACGTGACACGACAAAAAACAAACCACAGGCAGAGCACAAATCATACACAGCACACAGCACGGCATGTGGAGCGAGTCACCGCACGTGTGGAAGATCTGCGGCGCGGTGGCGGCGGACGTGGATGTGCACGTGGTTGTACTCTCGACCAACCGTGCCTGCAGGCACGAGCAGCAAAAACAAATGGCAACAAACGGTTTGAGGAGTGAGCTTCGGCTACAAAACTTTGCAAGGTTGATGCAAGCAACATCGTCGGGGTCAAACGCAGCTACTCTAAGGGAAGTAGAAATCACACACACACACACACACACACACACACACGCACACACACACACACACACACACACACGCACACACACACACACGCACACACACACACACACACACACATGCACGGCTTCGCACCGAAGAGGGTTGGAGGTTCTGGACGGACATAGGATCCAGTTGCCGACGTGTAAGCAATGGTCATGTCGTAAACGCTGTCAAGACTCGTGCCAAGCGACTGCACGGCCGCAATAAAGCCCTGTTGTGCAGTAATGGTGAGCGAACGCGGCGCGCGCGTGTTTGCGTGCACGTGTGTGTGCATGTTGAGCATGCATGTGTATGTGTGTATGTGTGTGCGTTGTTGTTTGAGAGTGTGCAGTGCATGATGTTTGATGTGTGCATGTGCGCGCGTGCGTGCGTCCAACCAACACTAGCGAACGACACATGCCCGAGCGCTCACCTTGCTGCGTGGAGTCAACACGTGTTGTGTCTCAGGCAATCCTGCAAGATGTAACATGATGCACGAGTCAATGTGGGCAACAGACTGTGTGTATGTCGGAGTAATTGATGCGGCTGCAAACACACACAGAGTCACACACACGCTCACACCCTCACACACGCACAGCCACACACACACACACACACACACACACACACACACACACACACCCCACACACGCACAGTCACACACGCAGTCACACACACACACAGATACAGACAGTGCGCATTTACCTCTGCTGTGTGCAAACGCGAGGCTTTCTTTCGCCTTCTGTGGGGTGTAGCGTGTTCCCTCGGGGAAGATGATCAGGGAATACTGCAAGCAGCGCCATGTCAAGCGCAAGTGCAAGGATGGTGCCGTGGTTGATACGATGGCACAGAACCAGTACATGCACAAGTCGGCACTAGCATGACACACGTGCACACAAGGAAGCACGCAAGGGAGCACAATACACATTCTCACAACACTACACGACTACACTACACTACACTACACTACACTACACTACACTACACTACACTACACACACACTCACTCACTCACTCCACACACACGCACACTCCACACACACACACACACACACACACACCAACACACACTCCACACACACACACACACACACACACACACACACACACACACACACACACACACACACACACAGAGAGAGAGAGCACAACACAACACAATACAATGTGGCAGCAGACTCACGTTCTGGCCGGATTCTGCAATCTCAGTGAGCTTGCGCTTGATGCGTGGCTCGTCCTTCTGCCATGACTTGCGCACGTACACAAAGCCACTCATCCACCAGAACCAACCGAACATGGGCACATACTTGAGCGTGTTCTGGTGTGCAGCCACGCAAGCAAGTCGGCCAGCATGCAAGGAGGGGGACAGGACGAAGGGAGTGAGTGGGCGTGACTGAATCCTTCAGGTGCGTAAAGGCTGTGCATGAACCACACACACACACACACACACACACACACACACACACACACACACACACACACACACACACACACACACACACACACACACACACACACAATGCGTGATGGAAACAAGGGCCGCCGGCGAGACGAATTCGCGCACAAGACACGTGTGTGGGGGGGGGGACCTGCACCTTGAGGATGAAAGCGCAGCGGCCATCGCAGTTGGCAGGGCGCAGGGCTGCTGTGATGGTGAGCCAGTCCACGTCGCTCTGGTGGTTGCAGATGCACAGCTGATTCTCGTCACCAGGGAGATCCCCGTACAACGTGAACTGACACGTGACATGGATGCGGCAAAGCACAGGTACAAGACGTACAACCACATCACCGTGAGTGGGTGAAGCACCACAACGATAGCAGCCAATCGATCATCAGCCCTTGCTGACTGTCATACACGCAAGAAGTCGCGCCCCCCACATGCAACTGCATGCAACTGCACACATGCACACATATGTACATGCAACACACATACACACACAAACGCACATGCACGCACATGCACACACATGCACACACACACGTACC